AGGACATTCCGCTAGATTACCGGACCTGGGCAGTCCTATTATACCATACCATACGAGTATAATTCACTCGGTTTTAATTGCAATTAGCGTGATCACTTCCCGTTCTTGCATTGTAAGTTTTATCCAGACACTATTATTGAATACTTTAGACTTTTCAATTAAACTTGCAACGTCCTCTACTGCCTAATTAATTAGCAATTTAGTTTTACAAATAATAATAAAATTAATTATATAAAGTATCATAATTATCTGCAAACTATTATACAGTACTTACAAACTGACCATGGTTATAGAAATATCATGCACTGAATCAATGGTTACGTGATATGTGAATGACTTGGTGTAATGTTTTTGACAGTGAATTGAGTCCACGTTTTCATAGTTTTAACACTTTTTTATAAACTTTTAATTATTTTTATTTCAATTATATTTAAACGAATGGAAAATATATTATCCGTGAAAGGGATCACCGAAAGGATCCGATCCCTCGATGTCTACCCCAAAGTGTTGGAGGATTTTCGCATTAAGACATTCGGCGGCGCGACAGGTCTTCCCATTGATCACCAATAGCTGATCCGCTCATTGAACTCATTGTTTGTTTTGTTTCGTAATATATAGTGACGATAATCAGTGGTCTCTTGATGTCTGTGCTCTTCATATCTGAACTCAATTACTACTTAACACCAGAACTGCGAGAAGAGCTGTTGGTAGACGTGTCGAGAGGAGACAAATTGCGGATCAATTTGGATGTAATCTTCCCTCACATCTCGTGTCAGTTCTTAGCGATCGATGCGATCGACGTGTCGGGCGAACAGCACATCAACATCGACCACAACGTCTTCAAACGCCGACTCACTCTGAAGGGGGAGCCCATCGACGCCCCAGAGAAGGACAATACCATCGGATCAGTGAACAGAACTGCGAAAGAGTTTCTCAATAAAGTGGTGACGGCGGCGCCCACGCCCTCCACCACTACGTTAGACCCCCATCGGTGTGAGAGCTGTTATGGGGCCGAAAACGCCCGAAGAAAGTGTTGCAACTCTTGTGATGACGTGAGACAGGCGTACAGTGAGAAGGGGTGGGCTGTGAACAACTTGGGGGACATTCTTCAGTGCAAACGCGAGGGTATGAGTGAACGGCTCCAGGACTTTGACAAAGAGGGCTGTCAGGTGTTCGGCTACGTCGAGGTGAACCGAGTGGGCGGTAACCTCCACATCGCCCCCGGTAAGAGCTTCACTAAACACCACATCCATGTGCACGACCTCAACATCAATGACTTCCAGCGATTCAATTTGACGCACAAAATAAGGCACCTGTCGTTCGGGCGCACAGTCGCCGGCAAAACGAATCCATTGGACGGAAGCGTTCAGATCGCAGAAGAGGGTTCAATGATGTTTCAGTATTACATCAAAATCGTGGCCACACTTTACGCCAAGAGTGACGGCCAGACTCTGCAGACCAATCAGTTCGCAGTGACCCGCCATAAGAAGCCGGTGTTTGAGAGCCTGACTGAGAACGGGATGCCCGGAGTGTTCTTCATCTACGAGTTCGGACCCGTTATGGTTAAGTACAGCGAAATCAACAAATCATTTATGCATTTCCTGACGTCTGTGTGCGCTATAGTCGGCGGCATTTTCACGGTGTCCGCGATCATCGACTCATTGCTGTATCACTCGATTCGCGCCATTCAGAAGAAGATTGAATTAGGGAAAGCCTCTTAACCACCCGACCCTCACGTACCGCTCGTAATCTCATTTAATTTATAAAGTTTTGTATTATTATTAAGTCATTAATTCGATAGCTATCGACCAAATGTAACAGTTATTTATTTTACGAATTACTTGTAAATAACTATAATTCAAATGTTATGTAAAATTTTAATGTTTTTTAATTAAATGAAATACTAATTTAACAACAATTTGTAATAAATTTGGTTTTTATTTGAGAGAACTTTAAATATTAATTTTTAAACAGAATTAAATTAACCGAAAATATCACAAAAAAAATAATGTAAACGTTTTGTGCTTAAAATGATTAAAAGTATATTAAAATCACATTAATATTAGTCTCAGTTTTAAATAGATTTTTATAATTCTAAAAATGCAAATAATAACCGTTTTATTACTTTAATGGTGATAAAAATCTGAGTTGAAGAATTTTTACAAAATTTTGAGAATTAAATGGTCCTCCAAATTAAGACAAACCGTTCCCATTAGGCATCGGCTATACATTAGAATTAGATGAAAATCAATTATTACCAGTGTATCAAACAAATCAATCAATCAATTACTTTATCAAAAGGCATGAGAACTGTTTTGGGAATAACAGGACTTTGATTGGCGGGGAAACCATTGAGCGACTGATCCACTGTCTTGAGTCGAATTACTTTTACATTCGAGTTTTGGTTCGTTTGGATTCCTAATTCAATTCAAAACGACAATTATATTGACCGCCAATTATGGGTACATTTTTACAGCAAAATACCTGTGATATGAAAAGCCTGTGGAATTTGGTTCAAGTTGTTAGAGATGGGACTGTTTGTGGTGAGAGTGAGCGCCGGGTTTTGATCGACAAGTGATTTATGATTCAATGGGTTTTGAATAACGAACCGCTTTTTGACAGGAATACAGTTCGAGGGAATGGTTCTCAGGAAAGTAGTGCCAACGGTCTGCCCATTCATTGCGTTACTTTGGGTTATTATATTTGCATTGAACGTATTCTGCGCTGAACTAGTGATCAGTGTCACGGGTTTCCATACCTGTCCGGACTCGCATCGACTCAATTTGATGACAAGCCGTTTAGGATCGGAGTTCACTAACTCTTTGCGAGCGTTTTCATTGTTTGAAATGACAGATGAAGTGAAAGCATTGCTAGAAATGTTTGAATTCACATAAATAGTGTTCGTATTAGTGTTGGTTTCATTGCCAGTGGAGACCACTTTCAATGATATCTGCGGCCTAACGACCGTCCCATTCGTGCAATGAGTGAATTTAGACGGCGATGGGATAATGACAGCGTTTTGCGGCAAAACTATACAATTGCCGCTTTGTTTGATACTTTTACTCCATTCATCCAACGATTTAAATGTCAAGTTCTCATGAGTTGATGGATTAGTGGTCGTAGTATTGGGAACGTTGTGAATAACGTTATGATTGTCTGTGGTTTGGTTGGCATTGAACAGAAAGTTAGCCCACATATCGCCATGAATTTGCAATGAATTTAACTGATTAGGACTACCGGTGACTGTGGTGTTTGTGTCACACAAACGGCTATTCGTAGGAGAGGTTGTGTCCATGCATTCGGTGTCGGCAGTGGTTTTGATGAGTCGTGACTCGTTTGCCTCGACAGCCTTCTCGGCCGCTTCGGCCAAAACATTAAGTGCTTTAAAAGTGGAGCGCCTTTTGTTGCGAATCCTCTTCTTCTTGGCCTCAATCGCGGGTTTTGTGTTAATTTTGATAGACTTTTGGGGATAAATGAAAGCATTGCTCTCATCTACACTCAGTTCTCGCTCTAAATGCTTGAGTGAAGCCCTTTTAAATGCACGCCAAACGCCATAAGCCATTAAAGTGTACCCATTTTTGGGTCCATTGAATGTCTCGCAATTGTTGACCATTAACTTAAAATCTCTCTCCACTTCTTCAAACGCCTTATACTCGCGGCACTCAATCTTCATCTCAATTTGAGACAAATCAATGGGTTCTTCAATCACCTGATAATACATCGGAAACTTATTGCCGTCGACCGGTTCCACAAAAGGCCAGGCGTCCCGATTAGACTTCACATTACAAATCACTACATATTCATAAACAGTAGTTAGTTATCACTTATTACCGCAAATTGTAGCACTAATTAAATGCATACCTTTTTCTAACCCCTCATAAAGTGAATCCAAAGTATCTGTTGGAACCACCGGTGTATCAATAAATCTGCAAAATTAGAAATGAAATAAATTAAATGAAACAATCGGCACATTTCTCGGGGAAAATAAAGTCATATGATATGCTAAACAGGAATGGGATTACAGGCGATGGAAAGGCAGCTGCACTACAGCAATGTGTGAACTAAAGCCGAACACCAAAACACGTGTTAAGACTTACAAAATTGTTTCTTTCGAACTGGTAGGCCGTTAAGACTATGTGCGGCTGAGGCAGAGCTCGCATACAATACGAGTGCCCGTAATAGAAATAGAGAGAAGTTTGTCAGTAATGGTTAATACAATACATTTGGTTCAAAAATCTACCAAATATTCAACACATAAATCGATATCGCATTACATTTAATGAAACACTTACTCCTCGTGGATGTACTGAAGCTGCTGTTGAGACTCATTGGAGTCGGCGTTTTGATGGCTTTGTTGCGAATCCATGTCAACCTCATTGAACTCATTGAACTCATTGAAGTCCATTTGTTGGCGTTTGAGGGCCCGTTCGGCGCGCTCTTCGGCCAACTGAAGCCTCTTCTGAGCCCTGTCTTCGCGCGATTGTCTGATCCGTTCGCTGCGGTGGCGCTCTATCTCCACATTCTTGCGCTCCGACTCCTCCTGCTTTCGTCGGCTCGTCTCCTCCTCTTCCAAGTCTTCCTTCTCTTTCTGCAGTTTCTTGAGCTCTATTCGTGAGGACAGTCTTCGTGGCAACAGTTCCAACAGCTTCTGTCTCTCAACCTTTTGTCGCTCTCTTTCTTGAATCTCGAAGAACTCGTATATTTGTGGCACAAAATCGGTCAACACTTTGTGGAACTCTATCTCACATTTACTTTTACTGTTTGCGAACTTCTGGCACAAGTCCTTCCAGTCCTGTTCGCTCTGACAGATCAAACTCCACGCTTCCTGTCGTTGTCTAATACTCACAGAAACCTCTTTTATGTCTTTGTAATCATTTTCACACTTTTTATGATTAGACTCAACACTGGAGACACTACTGGCCTTAGAGGTAGGTTTGGGAGTAATGACACCGTTTGGCAAACTCTGCTCTGACTTTCTCTGTCTGAGTCCAGTCCGAGAGCCCAACACTTTTGGGGGTAAACTGCGGTTCCTTTTCTCTGATTCTCTCTTTTTCTTCGCCTCCAGAAGTGTCTGTTTCTTGAGCTCCTGCTCTGCCCTCTGTTTCTCTAATTCAATGTTTCTCTTAATATCTTCAGCCCTTTTGGCCACCGATTCGTCGAACTTATTATAATTGGATTCAAGAGATTGAGCGACAGTTGGGTTCTCTCTGTAGAGACGCGTCCCATAAAAATACCAATAAATATAACCCTTATTATCGACTCCAAGCGGTTCCACGCGATAGTCGGCTCCACTGATATCGTTAACCAACTGAGAGATATCGTCCGCAAAAAGTCGGTAATCACACAAACAGTGGATTATATCGACTCTAGTCCTGAGCGGCAAATCACTAAACTTGAGACCAATCTCTTCGCCCTTTTCATCGAAGGCCACGAAAGGCGATCTCCTCTTCTCGATGTCCACCCATTGAATCTTAAATAACTTCTCCAAATAGGTCTCCCAATTGGTCACACTTTGGGACATACAGTCAATCAGTTATGAACACAACTCTCAATCAATCGTTTAAATCATAATTACTTTATATTTGTATTGAAATATCCCTTAAGAAGAGCACAAATCAATCGGAAGACGAGATTCGTTTCTATTGAATCCAATGGCGAGTCATTGGATGACAGAAACGATATGAAAGCAAACTCTAAGTCCTATTCCGGGAATAAATGGATCAATTGGTGATCAAAGTGATGGTCACGAAGACATACCTCATAATCAAAATCCGGTAAATCAATGAAATTGCGGAACAGATTACAGAAGTGAGCGATGGATGGGATTTGATAATAGGTTTGCAGTTCTGGACATTCAATACAAACAGAGTTATCGTTAGTTACAATCAAATCAAGTGTCAAATCATCACTCATTGAGACCTTCCATCAAATGTCGAGACAATTAAGACCACAATCGCGTCCACAACCAGTCTATCGGCGACCAAACGATTTGTTAACAATTGGTTAACAATTTGCTCCCAATTTGGCACTAATTGTGCGCCAAATGCTGTTATAATAGCAATAAATAACAATAATTAACAAACAGATCACAAATGAATGCAACAAATCGTAAGCAAATGAATGGTTAGGTTTTGCTGAATGTTTCGAAACGCTTTCAATCAAACCTAATGTGAACATCAATTTCATTCACTAATGCAACCATTATTTTGTCCCCTTTTCCACATAAATCTATACTAAATAGGCCTCATATATAGCACACGTTATGTATGGAGTGATACATACAAACCGTTTGCAGTTTCAATGAGACAATGACTGTGAATGTGAGGCACTCTTCGAGACATAGATTGACTTCACACTCAACTCAACGCTATTACTCACCAGTCGTTCACTACTTGTGTTCAACACTTGTCCACCACTTGACCGCTGTTTCGCTTCACTTCGCTTATGATTATGATTTGCAAATCAAATGAATGGCACTACAAATGAAAGTTTCACCAAAAGTTGGGTCAAACTAAATGAGAGTTAATCTGAATGTTCAGATATAAAGTGACATCAAGTTTGGCGGTTTTGGTGACCGATCGCCATCACTGTACTCACGAATACGGCGCTTCTCACAAACACTGTATTCAACACTCGATGCACACAATTCGCACACAACAGACCCCCACTGCCCCCTCCCCTCAAAGTCAACCTACCTTGAACAGTCATTTCTACCAATTCTCTCAATTCAAAGTTGGCATTTCTAATTAAAACTAACATTTTATTGCATCTATTCAACATATTCAATATTTAATCATTACATTTCAATGAGTAATTGCATTAAGTTAAAAAAATGCAACTGGTTACGTAATGTTATATCCTATAATATATCATACTTTAGAGACCTTAAAATAGGAGTTTTGGTTTAGAAACTATAGATTTCCTATAAATATAATGCATATTATATGAATTTGCATAGCTATACATAGTATGATGCAATTTTACATAATAATATGCAAATAAGTACCCATATATTACATAATTAATGAGTCAAACCAATTGAATAACATATGATGTATTGATGGAGTGAGAGGTGGCGGCACTGCAGTCGTCGAGTAATTGATGTGTTTTGGGATTGAGTTATCCGTGTACTCCAGCCATTGACAGTGCACTCACCAACTCTATGGGAGAGCTATGCGGGAGTGAGTGAGAGAGAGAGAGAGAGAGAGGGAGAGAGAGTGTGTGTGTGTGTGAGAGAGTGCATGAAGTGCGTGAATGGTGTGCTCTGGGGGAGAGAGAGTGTAGGGGAGGGCTAAGTGACGGCCCATTAAAATGGTTGAACATTAATATTATTAATCTATTCAGCATTCAAACGAGTCTATTATTGTCTCAAACACTATATGATTACATAATTGTGAGCAAACATTCATTTTAGTGAATATCATGTAAACAATTAGCCAGCAACTTATTGTTTGCAAACTTTTCGCACCTAAATATACCGACAATTGATTGCACGACACATGAAATGGTAATCATTAGTGATATTTATTTACATTTTTTGCGAATATATTTCAATTTAACGTTAATTTGAATGCATTTTATGAATGCATTGATTGGTTGAGAGTTGTTGCGATTGTTTGCGAAACTAATTGTGATTTTCGTTGCATTTTAGGATAAATCGCAGAAAGTATTGACGAAATGATGTGAAAATGCATTTGAAATGTAAACAAATGCTGAGAATTGAGTGCAAAGAGTGGTATTAAACCGATGAAGAAGTGTTCGCCGTTTGACGACAACCTCTTGATTGCGTAAACCGTTGTGTTTGTTGGGGAACCGGAGGTTCGGGTGCTCGCGATGGACCCGTCCTCGTGGTTGGGCGGCTATACGGCTCAACACTACTCGCGTCTCAGGGCTTCGGGGTCTCAGATGCCGAACCAACTCAATGTCCCGCCGGGTCTTAATGTGGGCCAAAGTGGGCATCAGCTCAACGACCACTTGGGTCTGGGGGTGACGCCCAACGCCACCAATCAGGCCATGTCTGGCCACTACGCCTCTACACCCACTCACCCCCACTCGTGGCTCTTCTCGTCGCACGGCCTCAACGCCGCCTCCCATCAGACGCCCGCTCACGACAGCTCCTCCTTCAACGCCAACCCATTCCTTCATCACCCGAGCTATGACTCGAGCTTCTTGTCGGCGCCCTTCCAGTCGAAGGCCTCGTACTTACCGACGGCCGGAGTGGGCGTCGGATCGGGTTTTTTCAATCCCATGAACTCCATGAAGAAGGCGGACAACGAGATGAATAACTTAAGGAACGCCGCCTACTGTTCCACAATGTCGTCCATGTCTAGCATGTCGGCCGCGAACAACATGACCAGTGATCCCAACGCCGGCCTCAACACCGGATCCCTGTTTCCCACTCATCTCACGCCAAGCAGTTGGCGCCACAACTTAATGGGAACCAACACTTCCAGCGGACCCTTCGGTATACTACCGCACGAAGCCGTCAATGTGAACGTGAATGTCATGAACACCGGTTCCAACGCCATCGCCAACTCTCACGCCTCCCATAACTCGCATTCATCGCATTCTTCTCACAACGCTTCACACCATTCGAGTGCTTCTCATAACAAGTCGAATGACAGCCAAAAAGGGCATCACTTTCATCATCACCACAACCACAAGACATCGGCGGCAATGCCCGGGATGTCAGGTGTGGACAACAATTCGTTTCGCAATATTATGCCGTCTTTGCCTCCGACACAAGCCAGTCATGCAATACCGACGAGAGGCCAGACATCGTTCGACGCAAACATGGGCTCTAAGATCACTGGCCATCACCACCACAGCCAAAGTGGTTACGCGTCGGATATGTTTGCGATGGCGGCGGCGGCCCATGCGATCAACTCGGACTACAGACAGACATATGCATCGGGTATCGCGTCTGGCAATCAACAGGCGATGACTGCGTTCGCCTCCAACACCGCCTCCAGAAGCGGATACCCGTCCGTTGGCTTCCATTCGGATCCCAGCGCTCGTCGAGAACTACTAAGCAATTCATCTCTTAAGCAGAGCTCAAGTAATTCGTGTAATGCAAGGAATATGAGTGCTATGAACGCCATGAATGCTATGAACGCTATGAACGCCGGTAGCTATTTGTCCAACTGTGCAATGATGCCAATGATGAACCCTAGCGCTCAATCGGTGGCCAATTACTCTTCCAGTCCGGCCCACAGTGTCAACAATTTGACGGCCAATCCGTCGGTTTCGCGCTCGTCCTCAGCGGCCAGTAATCACACTCTCCCGCAGGGGAACGACTCGTCGTGTAGTTTTGGTTACAGCAGTCCGGCCACTAATTTGCCACAATCTCCGTACCCACAGCCTCAGCGATCAAACACATCCAACTCTAGTCAGGGCACACCCACCACTGCGGGGCCGGCCGTCCAGTCCTCAACGCAAGACTATACAAATTACGGCACTCCTCAAGGTTTCCCTTCAATGGGTAATCAAACCCCAACCCCTACTCCCGGTTATCCTACTCCCCCATCGAGTGTAGGTCAGCCCCACGTGACACCGGCTAACAATCAGGCGCCACCACCTCATGAGGAGCAAGTGTCTCATTACCCACAGTTGACACCACAGACACCGACACAAAACACTCCGTTTTCTACCAATTATTCGGCAAACTTTAGTTCAAATCCAAAGATGACATCAAATGGCAGCAGAAATTCGGACTCGATTTTGACGAACACGTCCTCCTGTATGGTTGCGGCCGCCGCTATGAACGGCACACAGAATGGCTCATCAGTTGTGCAGCAAAGACCTGGATATATGATTCCCGAGACTGAATCCTGTGGTCTCTCGAATATGGTTGCCGTCAATCCTATTAACGACAGCCTTTCAAACGCCAAACTCACGAGTGATTCGCAACTCAACTCATCAGACCATTCAATTGGACATCAAAGTGAGCCGACACTGAACTCTGTGTTTAGTTCACAAGAAATCGATTTTCCGATTATAAACTTCGGAGTGAATGACGAAACAAATGGGTTTAATCCTAATTTAAAACTCGAGAATTCGTTTAATAAGAAGAAAACGAAAGGCAGTAAAAAGAGTAAGAAAAAGGATAGGAATAAGAATACCAATAATAATAACAATAGTAATAATGTGAGCGTCGGTATGCCTGTTGACCCGAACAACACCTTCTCTGGGTATCAGTACCCGACTCAACAGCAATACCAGAATTCTTATCAAAATTCAAACCCATATTTAATGCCTCAAAGTATCGGTCATCACAACCAAACACCACAGGAGTCACAACAGACTCATAACATAATACCGAACGACTCGAGCGCTGACAACAGCCACACGAACGCCAATCCCTGCTATGATATGCAATACCAACAACACATACCCCAACAGCAGGTCCAACAACAGCCACAGCAACTGTCATCACATCCCACACAACCAGAACATGATTTGATGCAACAGTTGCCTCACGAGCCGCCACACCACCAGACCGTACAAACTCAAGAGCACCAAATGATGGAACCGGTGATGTCGATGGCCTCACAGCAGTTGACACAAACGCAGACTAATTCCGTGAATGAGAAGCAATCGTTTCCCACAATTGACGACGAGTTGAGTTTTCTCACCGAACCTACAGATTGTGTATCAATGGAGACGCAGACACCAAACATGAATCCCAGCGTTCAGATGGAAACGCAGTCACCTCTTGTGATAAACCAGACGTCGAATATCTGTTCCGATCGCTCATCCAATGCAAACCTCTCTCCGAATTCGAGTTTAAACACAAACCAAAACTCGAACTCAAATCAGGGAAACAGCAATTCGTCTCATCCGTCAGGTTTTCTCAAGAGTTTCATGACTTTCATTAACTCTCCGACAGTTGCCGTCAAAGAAAAGAAGAAAAAGAAAGTGAAAGAGTCGGACGAAAACAAAATCAAACAAAACAATAATACACTGAACGGACAGAAGTCGTGTAAATACAGTAAGAAAGCGAAACTCGAGGACAACTTCGAGTGCAACGACGAACTCATCTCTGAATTGGACCACAAGAAGAAGAATAACTTTTCGTCTGTCAATCAAAATACGCCAAAACTGATGAGCGGTGAGAATATATCGCTCAAGAAGTCGATATCCGGTGATCGCGAGAACTACGAGAGCAAGTTCTTCAAGAGGAGGCCGTCGACTAATATCAATACAAATAACGTTCATATCATTGAAATGGAGTCTCGAAAGGAAGTGAAAAACGGGAAAAAGAGGAAAAATAAGTTTGATTTTGATTTGTTTGGCAACGACTCGCAGCAAAAGCACGACGAGTATGAGTTCCCCGACAGCCCTCCCAATACTCATTCAACTAAAAAGAGCCGAAAGTCCAGCAGTTGTGACAATTCGAGCAAAAAGAAACCGACGACTGATTTCGAGAAAATCACTTCTCCTTCGGTTAGCATTAACTTCAAGAAGAATAACACAAAGAAGAGTGTGTCGAATGTTGTCTCGAATCCGGCCAAACCTGTGGCCACCAGTTCCACCGAATCCATAGAGTGTAGTATTAATTCAGTGGCGCTCAACACGGGTTTGACGCAAACCATTGATAATCATTTGCAACAATCAGTGCAACAGAACCCGACTCCAGAGGCAGTCAAAGTGGAAGATATTAATCCGGTTCCCAATCCTCCCATTCATAAGAAACCAAACAATGCTTCAATTCAAACAAATAATAAACAAAAACCGACTCAAAATCAAGTGATAAACAAGAAGTCGCCAAATGTGAAGACAAGTCCCCCTCAAAGCACTCCATTAAACACATCGACGGTTGCCATCGAACACATCCTAAGCCCCATCCAAACGACGTCCACCCCATCCAACACTACTAACTCAACCAAACCGACCACAACGCCAGTCACCACCACTCCCACGCCAACTACTACTTCAAGCGCACCGGTTGTTACAAACAATTGCAATTCGGTTGGTATGCAAAGCGCCGGAACTAATACTCCTCGACGAAGATCTCAAGACAAGAAGGCGTCGACCATTCGAGAAGGACTCATGAGAACTGGAGATTTTGTTGTGTCCATCGATGAATCACAGTATGATTTGCCCGTTATTTGGAGAATAGAAGGCAAAAGTTTGCTCCAAAGGTTTGAACCCACGGAACAGGACGACATCACTGTATATATCAATACCTCATCCGTGAGTCTCATTCATTGTCTATATTTGAGGAGTAGTTGTATTGAAATAATGTTTGTTTAGTACTCGGCGTGGAATCCGACAGTAAGACAGCGTTATACTGGTGTAGACGTGCGGGTCATGGGTTGCAGTCGAACCCGAATAGTGGTCGAGAAGTTAGGTCTGACGCAAACAAATGCTAACTCCGTGTATGTATTGGTTGACACGTTGTTTAAGAATAAGTTATTAGTTATTAATTAACTAATAACTAATACTTACTAACTATAAGTTATTAATTAATCGGCGTTTATTGCAGTAATGGTTTGGCCTCAATAGAAAGGGTGGGCGCCCCTAATAAATCGAGTTCATCGCAACAGTCATCCAATAACTCATTTCATAATCAGGAGAACTTTGAAGTTTTTATCCAAACACTGATTAGTCAAGCATTGGATCCGAATTTTATCTCAGAGATTGTCAAAGAGAACGGTTAGCCTTTCATTGCATACAATTTCACTCATTATTAATAATAACATAAACATAACGAATGGTTTGTTTGTTTTGACGAACAGATGAATACTTCTTATCACACGTTCAGGCGATAGACGACATGTGTTCGCGAAAGAAGTCCCGGTTCTTCTCGAAAGTCAAATGGGACGCCAATATTGTGAAGTGTGTCGAGACATATCCTCTCTTCACAGTCACCGCTCAGAACAATGTCGGAGACCTTCGCTGTCGGGTATTAATTGATTATAAATGAGTGCAAACAATGTTATAATCTTACGGTTTGAATGCGTGTTTCAAGTTATGTCACGACAACTGGAGTACACAGATATTGCAATTCAATGGCGAGCCATACAATCAAATGACACTCGAGTCGCAAACGGGCGTCGATTTGAAGCAAACGAAATACGCGGCCTGTGATCCCTGTACTGATAAGATTGTATTATATTCTCATTTACATCATCAGAAACACAACTTCTTCTGTAAATGTAAATCTAAAGTAAGTCTTAACGCAACACAAAGTTGTGAAAACAATACTAAATTGAGTGAATTTAATGATTATTGTCGACTCGTTTAGGTGGACAGCATAAGAGGTGGTGACGAAAGTAAAGAATCACATGTGATATTAGAGCTGTGTCTTCAGGATAGTGATTGGATTAATATGGTTTGTGTTGACACTTGTTTTCATTACTGTAATCGTTTTGTAACTTATTTTGTTTTATTTTTCAATCGACAGCTGTTCAAAGAACTGGAAGAGATTTGGTTGAATTGCGACAAAATAAGATGAAATTATTGTATTTTTGAAACCATTTGCCATAAATTGTATATTTGTGTCACTCGTAACAGTCTTACGAATCGGTTTGTATTAAATCTAAATTGAGAAGTAATAGTGGTTTTAATCACTTTACGCACAAATTAATTGTTTATACGCTAAAGATTCAAAGTTTTAATCAAATAAGAGTTGAGGTATTATTTAAGGACTCAATGATTGTCTAACAAAATGCAATGTTTATTTCAAATATGAAAAAGTGTTCACTAAATGTTGAGATCTATTTATACACAAATTAGTGATTCATTTCTTAATTTAATATTTATTTACTTTTTATAAAATAAGACATTTTTCTAATGCGAAACCAAAAACACTTTGAAATATTTGAGACAATTATTGACTGAATGGTATTTTTGGCACTTTTTGAAAGTTTTTAGGAATTTATATCTATTGATATAAAACATGTTAAAAGTGTTAAACGATATGACGATTAATCGTACGATTTGTTCAAAAAATAATCTGATTTTTGTTTTCAGTTATTAAGCTCATTGAATATCCAATGACTTGACTCTCGACTTAATTCATGTGACAGTAATTATTTGAAAATAATACCCAAAAGTAGACAAAAATCAGACATCTTTTGAAGGAATGGAAAGAGTTTTTAAAATTGTTTTATCAATATTTAGAAAATAGTTGTTTATATACACTATAAATATATAAATAAAAAATATATTATATATACATTGCATATAATAATGTAATTTTTGGTATTAGGACTACATTTCAATTTGAAATATGATTAATGTTACGAATATTCTGTATTTAAAAACAAGAATTCGATGTAATTATGGAATAGCTTTGAAATTATTGTATTTAAGAATCACACAATCATTTGAATGTCTTTTATGTGACAATTTGTAAAATAAGTTTATATATAACTCACAATCGATTATATCATTATATTTAAGTTATTATTAATTAATATTATTGATTATTATTATTAATTATTATTATTATTATGTGCTCTCTTTGTTGAATCTTATTTTTATTAAATAAATATTTGCATAAATAATAAATTGAAATTTTGAATCTCACAAAAGTCTAACAAATATTCATTTTGTGTTGAATCGTCAGATAAATTGAAATAAAATCTAAAACAAAGGTTTTAATTGAATGAATGAACACATTATTAATTAAAATATACCGATAATAAAAAAGTGTAAAATTGACCTAATTTGTTGTGTCTAAAAAATGTGAACTTAACAAAATATGTTTGCAAAATAAGTTAGATTTAACATAAAGTTTCCCTTAAAACGGATTCACATAATAACGCTAAAACGACAATTACAGTCATTTGAACATCAAAGTCTTTATTGCAGTTAAATACAAAATCTATCAATAATTTAAAGTATAAAAACGATTGAGTAATTATTTAGATGTACAAGAATAATATACTAAATTATTAACTCAATTACAAAAGTAAATTACAGTAATAACATAACTTATGTAACATAAGTATAGAATGGATTGCAAAGGATATTGAAATCTTATAATTGGTTTCTATATTTAATTATATTCTCAATCACTGAATGAATCAGTTTTTCTCGTTTCATAGCAATTAAGGAAAATGTTTTATTTAATAATTTATTGAACAACTTTATTACATGTCATTTAATAAACTATTTCCTCAAATTCACTCTCGTTTATAGTACTCGAGTGAATTGGGGGTTGGGATAGGGATAGGGATAGGGATGGGACACCAGAATACAATGAGTTATCATTGAAATCCATATTCAAAGTAAATTTGAGAGATATGTGAACCAATTACTTTACCCCTAAATAGCTAATGACTTATATTCTTCAGATATTGAATTTCACATTAACTTTATACACACTTCACACGTAGAGTAGTTGAACACTTGACATGTAAAGTAAATCATATTTCAATGATTACTTAAAATATGAAAAAATTGTATTGAAACTAAAGATAACAGAATTGAAATTAGAGCCAACTTTTGATTTGAAAACGATTTGCATATTCAGCTAATTTGTCATCAATTGAATGAACTATGATTTTAAACGGAAACATATCTTGAGATTCTTAAGATTAAAGTTGTTTTATTATATTATATACCATATTTCAGAGATAAATTCTTATTTTCTTTATTTTGAACTAGGTTAAATCCATAGAATCCGTAATTTACTATATTAGCTTATTGTGTTAACTTTGAATTGCTTTTCACTGAACTGCTTACGGTTAATCCATTTTAGCCTTTAAACTATAAAACTTTAAACAATATTTATATTTAACAATTATATTTTGTAGACCAAGTTTGTAACTTACAAATTGTAAGCTTAGTATTTGACAGGTACAAAATCTGAACTATAGATTACGAATTTAAAAGACCTTTGCTCACTATGTCTACTTGACCTCAAACATAGATCACCACTGCCCTAATAGTGCAACGATATGAAATCAAAACTATTAATAATTAAGACCAAGTCTAAAGTATAATACATTTTTACTTTTAATAGTAAAACTATACTTGAATTGAATGCAAAGTTTTAGATGGGGTTTAGTTTTGAACATAAGATTCTCAACAAAATGTATCTCAAGTGAAATGTATGACACCATGACTTTAAAGTGAAAACTGAATGGTTTAGGAAAACGGATTCAAGTGAAAGTTGACTTCAGTTTGTGAGTGAAGTGCGGGCGCGAGTGGAGGACAGGGAGGACAGAGAGGACAGGGAGGACAGGGAGGACAGAGAGGACAGGGAGCCTATTCGCTTCTGTACGGCATATGTGTGGGTCTCTGGTGGTGGTGTTGTGCGCACTCTCACTCTCGTCCATCATATCTAGTATTGAATGCATAGAGTCTAAGCCATAGACTGTTTGTGTGAATCATTTTCTGAACACATTTATTGTGTATTTCATGAGACATTCATTTCTGTGGCAATACTTCCCATCCATTGTCTGATTGATCGCAACGATGCCGGCCGCCAACAAAGACAAGAAGACGACACCATCGGAGGTGCAGGACATTCAGGACCCGCACAAACTCGTCCAGAATCTGGTCGACAAGAAGATCAGGAATCTCGAGAAGAGAAAGGTATGATTGGCTCATGAATTGCACGCCATTTGCAACCAAATGATCACTTAATTGTTCCCATTGTTACCACTCTTGCCGATTACCTCTTGATTTGGCCACTCGTGCCACCAAATGAGCCCATAGTCACCCAATAGATCCCACGCCTCAGTCATCGCTCACTGTATTGTCTATTATGTGATGTGAAGACAATAGACGAGTAATGAGTGAAAAAGGCGTGACTTTTGCCAACAATTGACTTATTGTTTGATTTATGAGTATTTCATCTCATATTTGATTCAATCAATTGTCTAATCATTAAATGAATTGTTTTGACAATTATTGAAATGTTTGGTCAATGAGTCCGCAGATATAGGTCTCAAGTGTAGCACAATTTGGGGACAATTTGATAATTAATGATTTGATTGTGAAAATTGTGAAAATTGATTAATTGTTTGAAATTTTCGTGTATTAATGAGTGGTATTTGATATGTAGACTCGACTGCAAGAGCTCCGGGAGATGAAAGACAAGGGCCAGGAGTTGGTTCCCGAACAACAAGAGGCCGTCAAGAAGTTGAGTCAAGTGGTGGAGATGATTGATCTGATGAAAGACCTCAACAAATCCATCGCTGAGGTGTTGACTGAGGTATGAGTGCCGCTGTATATGGCATTTATGGTGCAAATCGCCCACACTTTGCACCACTTGTTTCTATCCATAATTGTGACCCAATTATCGCTCAATTGCTTCATATATTGAGAAGACTTTGTTTTCCTATAGAATACGAAACAACAGAAGAAATTAGCGAAGAAAGAGATGTTAGACAAACAAATTGAAAGACAACAGCAGGAGTTGGAAAGGCTTAAGACTATCATTAGATTCCAAGACATTCTCTCGCAGTTTGAGGGACCGGTCAGACAGGACTTCTCAAAGGGTATCAACGGAGCGATTGTTAGTTTGAATTATTATTTCTTATTTTGATGTGTTATTTGTACTGAAATTGGTTTCAATTATCTCAGAAATTATCTGAAGAACAGTTGACTAATTTGGATAAACTGTTTGAAGAGATCACTGCTGTGTCTGACAGTAAACTCGAGACCATAGCCGAGAAGTTGATCGCATTGTCTGAGGGCAAGTCGAAAGAGGCGTGGAGTGGAGTGACATTTCATCAGCTGAAGGAACTCATGTCGAGTATCGTCGCCTCGAAGTACTTCGAAAAGAAGACGACACTTCCGACGACCACTACATCCAAGACGAACGCCAAGAACCTGTCGACCAAAGCGGCCGAAAATTTGACCACTAATTCAAAGGTTGGTTACATTTGTTTCGACATTGACTTTGCATTGATATTAATATTGATTTGTCTTCTAATATGGACGCGAAGATGGGTTCCAATCAGTTCCACTCGATTCCGAACAGCGAATACAACCCCAATATATCTCAACTCCAGAACCAATTCGCTTCGACTGGTATTAGTTTTATGACTCGAGACCCGTTAGTAGAGAAAGACCCGGCAGTGCTGGCCATCGCCGCCGACCCCAACAGCTATCCCTATAATACGTACCGACTCTCGCAGACCGGCGATCAGATTATGAATAATAACCCGATTGCCGACCCAAACAACCCCTCTGTTCAACAAAAAGCAAACTATGAGAAGTCTCAGATACCGACCCAAACCTATACTAACCAACAGTTCGCTTCTGCCCTCATTCCTACCACTACAGCGACCCCTCATGTCTTCCCAACAGTTCCCGTCTCTATGCCAGCGGTGCCCATGACTGCACTCATTCAGACCGATATGATCCCAACCATGACATCAGACATCAACTTTGCGGCCAATCAGCACCAGTATATGAATGCCAATCACAACGACAAACATCTGAACACTAGTCACGACAGACACCAAAACTTTAACCCAACGGACGACACCTTCAAGAACAATAGAGTCCGCGGAAACCGATCTGAAAATCCCAAGAAGAATGTGAACGGATCCGGGAATAGAGGCCGCAATGCGAACAAAGGTTTGATTGTTTGATTTGACCATACTTTACATCAACACAATGCTTACCAATTGAATGTATGTCCGTTTAGGTGGCGGATATGGGGGCCAAATGGGAACGTTTGGCACGTTTTCCAACAAATATGAGAACCAAGTGAATGGCTCTAACTATGGAAGCAATACATTCGGAGGTGAGAAGAGCTCGAACAACAACTTCGGCGGAAGTGGAGGTCGCGGCCGACCGCAGCAGTCGAGAGGCATGGGTCGACCGGAGAGAGGACCTGATAATCGGCGAACCAATAACTATAACGTCAACTCAAATCCCAATTTCGGTGCCACAGCTGCTAAATAAGTGATGCTTTACTCGATTTGATTGATTGTCTCATTCGCAGCGGCGCTAAACCTCTTCATTACTAAATTTTTTAGGTTAACGACCGGTAAAGCTATTAATGATTATATATATTTGCCTCGACTTAAAATAATTTATTATAAAATAAAAAATTCTTTGTAAAAATGAAACATAAATTTTAATGTATAGTTAAATCAAACGAATCCATACTTTAATATTAATTTCCAATTTTAGAGCTTTTCTCTAAACATAGGTTTAAGTTCTTATATTAAAGCAATTCTTTCATAATTTACTCATTTCTATGATTCAATGAAAAACTGTATTCTCACTTCAGTTACAAGTATTGCTCACGTTTTCTAATTTTTTGTTAGACTTTCAATAAATTTAACTCGAAATGAATATAAAACTAAATTTGAATGTAATTTAAATAAAAATATTGGTCGCAAACTATTCAATGACTTAATTCAATATAAAAGCTATCAGTGCCTCAAACAACAATACTATTAATACTAAACACTTATCCTTTTTGTGCCTCTTTTCTAATCTTTGATTTTTTAAATTTAAATATTAAGTTAAATTTAATTTATATTACGTTAAGACTAACATAAGTTTTGAAATTATTTAACAGTATATAATAATTAATGAAATTGCAAACAATTAATTGCTTAAATGTATTGAATTTATGATTTATATGTTGTGTCAAATATTTCGCTTTACCGGCACTTATTGTCAAATAAATTGCTTCATATTTTTAATTCAATTTAACTTTTGTTTGACTTTATGTTTGAAAACTTATGACACGTTTTGTTGCTTTGCATTGAATGACGAAATACATGAGCAGTGCTTCACATATAACGCTATGTGTGGTTCGGGGAGGTGGGGGTGGGGTGTCGTGAATGCATTGACTGGCGTGGAGTTGGGGCACAATCTATGGTAACGTTGTTTGTGTGCAATATATGCAACATTTGTCAACAGGAATGGTAAACCTCTGGAGTGGATGTGTTTGTTGTGATGTCTGTGCGTAACATAAGAGAGGACTCGTTGGCGGAGAAGAGACGACAGATTGAGACGAATCCGTGTTTTGAAGAGCAGAAGAAATCTTTGAGTTGTATTGAAGTGAACTCCAAAGACACCGATCAGTGCTTCCGTGAGATCCTAAACCTGAAGATTTGTCGCACTTTTTGGTACGAAATCCAGAAGTTTCGCCGAAACCATAACATTGAACCCATTCTTCCGGAGCCATCGGAAAGGGATCGCATGAAAGCGGTTTACATGAGTACCGGAAGTCTTAAACCAATCTTCGCTGAGATGACGAGAGACTATAATTTGTGATTCAATTGATGACTGTTTAAGACTTTTAGTGATAATTAAGTGGAAAATGTTTCACAAACTGTCGAAACAGATGGTGCGGAGGGTGTGGACAATGAGTCCGATGGCGGCTGAGTTCAATCGCGTCAATCCAAAGCCACAATCATTTCCGCGATTCTTCGAGCAGAAGACGGGTCTCTTCGGTCATGAGTTGCTGTCAGAGCCGTCGGGTTTCTATCTGTTCCGCGAGAACGCGATCGTAGAATCGGATCGACTGGTGAAGGAAGCGCTGAGTCCTCACCGCCAGAGAAAGATAGTGGAAGTGTTGGACCAGTTGTCCAACTGTTTGTGTAAAGTGGCGGATATGGCAGAGTTCGTCCGCATCGGTCATCCCTCCCAACGGTTCGGTCACTCAGCAGAAGAGGCCTCCATTGCCATCAGCACTGAAGTCGAGAGACTCAACACAAACAAAGCCTTATATGAGTCGCTTCGGGAGGTGTCTGAAAGGGGCGACCGGTTGGCCACCAATGCGTTGGACGAGTATGTGATGAAACTGTTTCTCTTTGACTTCGAGCAAAGCGGTATCCATTTGGATGAAGACAAACGCAAACTCGTCCTCCAACTCAATCAACACATACTACACGTGGGCTCCTATTTCATGAGCAGTACCTCTCAATCCAGAACTGTTCCCAAATCGAAACTTCCCGAAGAAGTTCGCAATTGTTTCCATTCGGATGGCGATTATCTAGTGATCACCGGTTTGTACAACGACTCGGACAACGAATTGGTGAGAGAAGCCGCTTATCGTGTCTTCTTATATCCGGACGAACATCAGGAGAGTCTTCTGCAGGAACTGCTGATGTCTCGCCTCAAATTGGCACAAATCTGTGGCTTTGAGTCCTACTCTCACCGCGCAATCAACGCCAGTATCGCTAATAATCCGGAAACCGTTTGGGAACTAATCGATTGCATAACTGATCGGTTGAGACCTTTGGCCGAACAGGACTTCAGAGAAATGCTTAAACTGAAGACTTTGGACAACAAATACGCCAAAAGTGTGAAGTTATGGGACATCCCTTTCTATACGAATCTGTTTAAGCAAAAGATGTTCAGTCAGGACATGAGTCTCTGTGCGCCATATTTCTCGTTGGGTTCGTGTATGGATGGACTCAACACTATATTCGGCGCCTTATTTAACACTAAACTTGAAATATGTGACCAAACGGTAGGCGAGAGTTGGCACCGGGATGTCATCAAACTCTCTGTCATCGACTCCATCACAAACACAACATTGGGTTTCATTTATTGTGATTTCTTTGAGCGCTCCTCAAAGCCTCACAACGACTGCCACTTCACTATTCAGGGCGGCTGTCATCTGCCCGACGGCTCCTATCAGTTACCAATCGTTGTCCTCTCACTGAGTCTACCGAACCCAACACAACAGACCCCATCACTACTGACCCCTCATATGGTGGACAACCTGTTCCACGAGATGGGACACGCAATGCACTCAATGCTGGCCCGAACGCCGTACCAACACATCACTGGCACCCGTTGTTCCACAGACTTGGCTGAAGTGCCGTCCATTTTGATGGAGTTCTTTGCGTCCGATCGACGAGTTATCTCGACATTTGCCCGACACTACCAGACCGGACAACCCATACCCCAGCATCTGCTCAATGTATGGCTCGACTCGAAACGAGTGTTTATGGCCAGTGATCTTCAGTCACAGGTATTCTACTCAGCCTTAGATCAATCATACCATAGCTCTAAACCATTGAGAGATCTGAAGAACACAACGGAAGTGTTGTCACAAATTCAAAACCATTACTACAGTGTGCCGGCGGTGGCCAACACTGCCTGGCAGTTGAGGTTTGGCCACTTAGTCGGTTATGGCGCCAAATACTACTCATATCTGGTGTCCAAATCTGTGGCCGCAAGCATTTGGCACAAACTGTTTCAAAAGGACCCGTTCTCGGCGTCCGCCGGACAGCTCTATAAAGAGGAAGTCCTACAACACGGCGGAGGAAAACCCCCTAAACTTATAGTCGAAAGTGTCTTAAATGAAAGTATTTCAGCCAAAAGTCTGTCCGATTCTCTCATCGATATTGTGTTGCAATCATCCGAAAGACATATTCATTCAAATAGTGATTGAATCTGAAGTTTATTAAAAGTTTATATTGTATTTATCGTTAGAAATAATTTTTAAATAATAAATATGTTTAGTATAGTTTGTATAAATTATAATTTATTATCAAATAATACAAATTGTTTTACAACTAAATTTCAAAATAAAAAAATTGTTTGAAATAAAAATTTGAATACATCTGAGATTTTGAGTATTACTTCAAATGAAAAATATTTTATTGAATTAGAACTGAATTCTAATCATTTTGTTAATACAATACTTTTGAAATGAATTTGTTTTGAGCCAATATTTCAATATTTCTTTGAATGCATTCTAATCCTTAGTATTTATAATTATTTATAAAATTAATTTATTTACAAAACAAATTTTAAAATCAAATTAAAATACACAAAAGTATTTATAATCAATATTCGTATTAAAATAAAGTAAAACTAGTAGAAATCATATGAAAATACAAGTGTTTGTAAAGTGTGTGAACACAAATCAGTAAAAAATATTTGGCTATTGAGCACCAAATGAAACAAATAACTAAATCCATTAAAAAACACAAACATTTCAATAATTTAATTTTGCGATAAATTGTGAGTAATTTTGTTCTCGATTATGAAATATAATTAAAAGGTTACGAAAATCTTTCGATTCATTCAAAGATATTCTCGTCAATTATTTTCGAGAGTTTAAGTAAAGTATTGAATCAAAAAAGTCTATTCATTTATATTTCAATGAATGGAAAAAAGTCTGAAAAAGCAAACTTTGAGGTCTGAAAAGAGTTCATCCTTTCGTACAATATTATGAAATACTTGTGCGACACATGACATGACATAACATGACATGCAATTGAAATACAAGTTATTCCCGTATTATATGTTTTGGTCTAAAAGAGTCCCTTCTTTTTCTTCTCTTTGTTTTTTCCGTCAAATTGTAATCTAAAGGAAATACATTTAAAACCATTTGTTAGTAATTGTTATGATTTTAATACACAGAATATTCATTCATTTATTTTTAATGTCATCCACTTTAAGGTATTTTGATATTCGTTAGTATTAATTACGGTTAGCACTCAATTAGCGAACACTTTATTAATATAATTAATCACATGAATTTGAAATTAAGTAAAACATAATTGTTTAAAATAAATAATAATAAAAATAAGTAAATAAACAAATGATTATAAACAATATTTGTATCGTAAACTACATTTGGCGGCATTTGTTGGCATTTTGGGATTTATTTCTAGAGATTTTCTTCAAATTCTGGTCACCAGTTGTGACTGAATTCCAATTCAAACTAATTTTAATTGAAATCAATAATAAAAACAAATTAAAAATATAATACAAATAATTCAATGATTGATAGCTTTCATGCAAAATGTTAAGCATTTCTCTTCCATTTTCCTAAAAACGCTTTTTTGCCAAAAATGCGAGAATTTCGATGATTTGAGTTAAGAGTGGACTCTGAGGGCGAGGACGTCATATAATAGCCGTCAATGTAATCCCTAAAATCCATTCAACAAAATGAATTCAATACCAAATCCAATGTTTGTCGCATTAAACGGATATTTAGTGTTAGTTTTAAACCAAAGCAATTAATATTTACCGCATTATCCGCATTAATGGCAGCGTTTTCTATCACATAACTAACAAATCATGCAATTAGACGTTAATTCAAGCACTTTGTCATTTGAGCGAGATCATCTACTATTGATAATCCAATTGATTAGTATTCGGTTATCATTAGTGAATCGTTTATTGGTTTAAGTTTTCATTAACCGAATAATAAACAAATGAATGAAGAGTTTATACCAAAAACCAGTGGATATAAGAAAGCAATTGAAAGAACACATGTCTGTCCACTCACTCTCTCATAGTGTTGTCCAAAGTGTTAACTCTTCTGATCTCTTCCATGTCTTTGGAGATGAGTTCAAAGGCTTCCAAATCTTTTTCGTATGCTTTCCTTCTGTCCTCCAATTCCTGTCTCTGTTGATCCAATTTCTTAATCATATCATCGTTACGACGAGTCAGCTATTGATTGCAAAAATTAGTGTTTTAACAAATTATTTTCAATCTTTAACTTTGTTTACAATTTAACAAATCATATCCTAAACACCATAACATTGCAATTAAACAGCTTTTATTGAATTTAAGCTAAAATTTAATTCTCAACATAAAAATATTCCAATAAATTCTTAGATAAATAAAAAATAACTAAAATTTAAACGATTGTATCTATAAAATAATATTTGACTGACTAGTAAAATGTGATAAAATGATTTGCCATTCAATTACAAATATTATAGAGGACTTCAACAGAATATCTATTGAAAATGAGATCAGTTGTACAACTTGTACGTACGTCTTGCTCGGAGTCCTTCAGTTTGTTGACCTTTTCATTGACTTTCATCTCAAACACCTGTTCCATCTCCGCCTCCATCTTCTTCATCTTCGTCTGATGTTCTTTCTTCTCCTCTTCCATTTGCGCCAAAGGATTCCTTAAGAGTCAGACATCCCGTTAATATGAGTTCATATAACGCACGCAAAGTGTCATTCAAACAATCATTAATAATCAAACAATTAAAGAAAATAATGAGAAAATGTGTCAAAAACTAATGGAAAGACATGCCGTCCCTTCAGAAAGTAAAACAACAAACAAATTGAACACAAAATCCGGATCTATTGAACCCAATCTGTAATCTATTACTTACCAGAACACCATCTGAGAGGTGTTCTTCGAGTTCCTTTGAGAGCAATAACTAACAGATAGTGATATAAATCAGACATAAATAGTATTGGTTTCAAAGTCAAAGTTATAAATCCGCGAATAATCTCAACCAAAATATTAGACTAATTAAGACCAAAGACTTCAACAATTTGACAGATCATTGAACAGACATCAGACTAATAGTAAATAAATAGATAAACGGCTCACTTGTTCGCATCTTTGATCGCTTTCTTGTTTTCGGGTCCAATACCCGTAAGTTTACGGCACCGGAAGTTCTCGTAGTGAACGTTATTAGTCGTGTCCAATAAGTCCAACATATAGGTGCGGATCAGTAGATTCCTGAGGGCAACGAAGTCGCAGTGATCCATATTCTCGACTATCAGTACATCACATATTCATTAGTCTAATGAGCATTCATTTGGTTAACAGAGTGTACGTACTGTCCACACAACCCCAGGGATATTTGCGGCCACGTCTTCGCTCTCCACTCGACTCAATCACGTAATTGCTTCCGACGACAGCGAATGGGATTCGACTCTTCAGTTGCTTTTGAGTCTTTCCGTCTTCTTCTTCCTCGCCTTCAGGAAACTCATAGACTTTGATCTTATTTTGTGTGATTTCGTTCATAACCTGCAGACATAACAAACTGATTAGCAGTTCATACATACAGAGAGCAGTTATAAAGTTCAAAAGTTCAAAAGGCGCACGTTTTTCTTGAATTGAAGACATTCCTCGGGAGTGAGAGTGTCTGCTTTGGCGATGACGGGAATTATGTTCACTTTGTCGTGTAAGTGAAGCATAAACTCGATGTCCAATGGCTTTAGTGAATGACCAGAAGGATAGATGAAATATAGACAACAGTGGACGCGATTGTCCTGAATGTGCGTCCGATGGACACGCGTTTCTGCGTTCAGATACTCTTCATATCGATTTTCAATGAAATTAGTGATCGGTTGCCAACAGTTAGTGTTATCGACGGCGCAGCCAAAGCCGGGCGTATCGACAATCGTCAGGTGAAGGTTCACTGTCTTCTCCTTCAGCAACACTTTAGTGGTCTCGACCTCAACGGTCTTTGTAGCGCGTCTGGAAGGACCCGGATATTCATCGGAGTAGATGTCCGTCAAAAACATGGAGTTCACAAGAGTTGACTTTCCTAAACCAGACTCTCCTGTAAACCAGATTTCAAGTCATTTATAAATTATGCAAACTTTAAGAGCAATGAATACAGACCGACGACCATAAGAGTAAATTCAAAGCCCTTTTTGACGGTTTTCCTGTGTATTTGATTGGGAAGATCGGAAAAGCCGACGAACACATCCGAGTCCTTCGCCAGAACCGGCTTATTATCGTCTCCACGGCCTGAATGCGTCATATTCTCGATGCGATCCCTATCTCTCGACAAATAGATATCTTTAGTGACGGGACTGGAGTTCACGATAGAGTTGGGAGGCGTCGGGTTATCACGAAAGAAGAGATCGCGTTTGGCGTTGAGCTGAAACACAACCGGCTATTAGTCCAACAAATCACTCAATGATTACTCTTTTGAAGGCCTTTAGTTTCATTCATTCAATGCTTTCAATAATTAAGACTTAAGTCAAAGTGTTTGAAGAAAAGTAAATGAATATGAATTGACAGTAATTTCTAATATTTCAAAGAATTGCAAACTAAGTGTAAAACAATATGACATATCCTCTGAAACTACTATTTTACACTCGAAACTCATGTCTCATTATTAGTGTAATTCAAGAGAATTATTTGTATATTCAAACCATAAATACATTACAAATAGGAAAGAAAACATTTTAAGTCAAATCCAAACACAAATTGAATAAAATATTTTCAACGTTCAATTTGAGAGTTTATTTTTGGAAACTTTTTACACTTTATTTCAAAACTCGTGAAAACTCTGTGAAATCAAAAGAGCAATGAATCAGAAAAGATTCGACTCTTTGTTTTGTACAAGAATTTTGAGATAAAAACAGCAAAAATACTAAATACTGATAAACCGATTGTAATTCAAATGTGAAGTGAACCGCAAGTCATGCTTATATTGTATGCGATGGCTATCTATGCCATCACTTGTAAAAGTGTCACAAATTCATAGCCAATACTCACTGATAAGTTCTCTTTACGTGATTCAGGGGAAGGGATCAGTTGTGGGATCTGTGGTGTGATCTGCGGCTCATAAATCTTCTGTCTTTGAGCCAAACGCTCGACTCCGGCGAACCGATACCCCGACCCGCCATAAGTGGGTGTCGTAGGGGTTCGCGCGTTACTCGACTGCGGGGTAGTCGGCGTCGGAGTCGGCGATAAGTCGCGTAAGAATTGCTCCTTAAGTTCAGCCGACTTGAGGACAGGAGTGGGAGAGGGCATCGGTAGTATGGGCTGACCGATATTTATAGTCTCGTTAACGGGTGGATAAGAGGGCGAACTGAGAGGATAGGCATCTCTGGTGGGGGTGGGGGTGAGCTTACGGGCGCCAACCTGTTCCCAACCGGCCACCAGAGTCTGAAAAGCACCCAAATCTTTGGGCACATTTCGTACGGTATTTGAGTTCATATACATATCGATGGGATGATTATAGTATTGAATGACTGCTTCAGAGATGAGATTTTTTAGCACTCGATCCATACATTCGCGATTCAATTGGAGAAATCTTTTTCATACATAAACTCATAAATAGAAACATTTCTGACGACTAATCACACGAATTAGTCAAAGATCTATGTATGGCATCACCAAAGAGTGAGTGACTCGAAGAACTAAGTCTCAGATTTGTTGGATTGAGATGTAAGGCAAAGAAAAAACAGATGTTCACTGAAATAGAGACTGAAATACACGAATAGATGAGTGAGAAGTGGTCTCCACGAGAGACACAAGCGATCTGAGCGTCTAATGGATCGCAACTCTCGTCTATAAGTGATGGCAACTGAAAGCCTGAGTCGAGCCGTGAATACATGGCATCCAATCGTTACAATTTTCTACACATTATCTCTCAAAACATATGCATCGTCTCTATACTGAACATCATTCGGGAAATCAATGACTTATACAAATCATTTCAATACTTATATTGGCAATGGATTTGACATCAAACTAATATTTGATGTCTGTTTGTATGCAAAATTATATTACATAAAGACATTAAAACACATTATAAGAGATTAATGAATGCAATAAAAGGAATTAATGGAGGAATTCGTGTCATTCATATCAGCTCTTAATCTATAAACAAATATTAAGTAAAGCACTAAATATGGTTTATATTCATATAATTTATTTAAACATAGACTGTTTGTCATCTGTGTTTAACAAATGAATACATGTTTTCTACAAAAACAAGTAATTAATCAAGCAATTCCTCTCATTTAAATCAAAACACAATGTTTGCATATAATATAAAATTATTTTGATTTTTTTCTCATTTATAAAATGCATAATTTGAAGTTCAAGTCCACAGAATTTATGAGAATATATTTTTCCAAATAAATAAAATTCGTAAAAATTATTTAAAAGTGAAACTTATTTTTGTAAATCAAACGTAAAAATCGATATGCTTTTAGAAAAACTACACAATATTTATAAAACAATTTCTATTACAACGTTTAACAACTAATTTTGCACAAAAACATATCGCAAACGGAAATGAGTGACAAAATTAGTTTTTAAAACAAAAAGCATTAGAAAAACGGAAAGAATATAAAAGAGTAGATAATGGATATGAAGACAGAAATGGATTTCATTGTTATGAACAGAAGTGAATCAATCGATCGCAGGTTAATGGAGACAATATATTAACGTATTATTGGTATTCGTTTAACATATCATCCAATTTAATACTAATCAGACATTTAATATATCGTGACTTCATATGACTACTAATATTTAGTCGTTCCGTCACTTCATTACCGGTTGAGACCAATGTATGAATCAATAGAAATGCATTTCATTCTCAACACAATTCCTTGAAAGACAATCAAAGACAGTGACAATCACTTATATCATACACTTTTCTTCAAACAATAGGAAAGCTTTATATCAAAATAAAAACAAAACAATTATTTTGAAAATATTTCAATCGAAACTTGTTTTACAATTCTTGGCCGATATTCAACTCAATTTAGAAAATTTTCATTTTGTTTTGTTTGTATTATTGTTAACCAAGAATTCAATGATAATTATCACAAGAATTTTAATAGAATTCTGTTTTACTCATTGAATGCATGAATTTAATTACAACCAAATATATAGTATTTTTATACATTCTTAAAACACAATTTAATTGAAAATCAATTTTTAAAATGTATGTTTACTTACAGCTGTAATGAATCCAAATTTAATATAATGTTTCGCATGAAAAGAGATAAATAGCCATTAGTTTTCAATACTTCCTTTTATGGGTTTTCATATTTTAAACAAATTATCCAAACATTGTATGCCTTCCTAATTAATTTGTGAGACTATAGATAATCGTAAATAACTTAAATTGTACGGTATTATAAACTCTAGCATAATAAATCTCAACCATTATTAAGAAATTGAACTAAATTTCGACAAATTATCAAATATTTCTAATAATATTCATAAATCTAATGAAAAGTTAGTATTGAAGTGAAAAGATTGAAGTGTTGTAAAAGAGGTAACGAATAGATTCATGAATCCTAATAAGTGTTGCAAATGGTGTTGCAGTGAGACTGGGGTCGGGGTCCGACTCACCCGCATAGCGTCGGGAAGTATAGCCGCTTTCGTAATCAGTGGTCGCTATTAATCAGAGGAATATTGTATAAGAGTTAGCATTAGATTAAAGTTATGATTGAGTTTACATTCAGAGCATACGATTTGATTAATAAAACATTTATTTCAAGCAAATTAAATCATATTTATGTATGCGTTGGTGGCAAGCATTACACTAAATGATTAGAAAATATGATAAAGCAATTAGATTTAATAAACTTATGTAAGAAATGAGCAAAATTTGTCATTTAATATGGATTACAATGAATTAGCGGTAAATTTGTCAGATTTGAGTTCAACACAAACCTCTATATAAAGCGCTTAATCAGATCTGAAGGTCTAAAAAATGATGGATCAATTAGGTTGCTATTTAAGGCTTTGATTCAATTTCAGTGTGTTTTGGAAATCATTTTAATTGAATCAATAAATACAAAATTTGAGCAATTTTTGCAAATATAAAAATTGGATACAAATGAGTAAAACACTCCCACTTTTGAGGTGAATTCAAAATCAATGGTAAATATCGATCGGTTTTGTGAGACTATGTCTGGAGAGGCCGTTACTGAATGAGTGGTGAACTCTATATTACATAATAGTGTCTACAATGCCATTAAACCACTCATTTATAACATGTTATAAAACTTTTAATAAACTATTAAAAACCAATTTCAAAACTATTAGCATCGACTTTGAAATTAAAATAGACATCAATTTTCTCGTAATTATATTATTCGTTAAAACATTTTAGAAAAGCATTAAATATAACATAAAAATAGACACATAGTATACAAACAAAACAAATTAAACAAAATACCGGCAAATAATCATAAAAATGTTTAACAAATAAAATTACCCTCATCATTCTTGTCAAACAAAACAAAAATATTCCGCAAAAAAGTCACGATTTTTATACAAAAAATACAAAATATTTTTAAAGTCTTAAAAATATATTATTTATACAAAAGACCTTATTTTAGATAAGTTTTAGTCCAAAGTTTGTAAGAAATGAATGAATAATAGATAATTAAAATATTGAGATATTCTTAAGGGTTTCCTATCTTTAATCAAAACATTTGTTAATAAAGTAATTGTTTTTGAAATACAATCATACGATAGGATGTGTCCGGAAATCCTATTATATTACAAAATCTTCTTAATTATAAAACACAATTACATTAAATAGTATTTTGAATGCAATATAAAGTCTCATATTAATAAACAATTGTTTATAAAAAGTTTTATTCAAATTGCAATGAAATCTATTCACAGCAAACATATTAATATCAGTGTCTGGAAGTGAAATAATTATGTTTTTATGATTAGATTTGCATTTAATATAAATATTGTTATAACAGTTAAGTTGATGTCAATTGAAATTAATGATAAAAATGTGTCAAAATATACTAAAACTTAAAAGTAATAAATGAATAATTAATTGAATGAATACACGAATGCAAAAGCAGTAAATAAGTTATAAATCAAATGAAAAGTTTTTGTAAAACTTTAAAATACATTAAACACACAAATCAATAAAAATAATCAATTATTTGAATGAATAATAATTTAAAGCAATTGTGAGACAAATGAATGAATGAATGAAACTTTCATTACTTTATGAAAGACTGTTGAATTGAAAAAGTATAGTATTTTTGTTTGTAAAAGCGTTTAACAAAAAGCATTCAACGACTATAACAAGCATTCAATGCATTACTGATTAAAACAATGACTCAAACATTGAAACAATTAATTTGTATAAAACTTACCATTTTTGTGCATTTCTCGACGGATATCTACTGGAAAGTGGTGTCAACACAATGGAAACACTTCACAATGAGATGACACTGATGAGTGATAAATTGGTTTTGAAATGTAAAAAATCAAAATTCAAGTTATGATCAAAAATAATGACAAAAAGAGTGTTGAGTTGAGTCTCCGGGAGTCATATGCACCACAAGTCTAACGCCTGGCGTTCATATCAATGGCGCGCACTCTGTATCCCTCCCTATCTCTCCCTTGCATTGCATTCAACATTCAATACCATTGCATAGCATAGTATAGCATCCCATCTCAGACATAGAGTAGAGCTATAGCTTACAAAGGGATGTATTGCATATTGCCGTCAATGCCTCCATCCCTCCCTCCCTTTCCCAACACTTTGTTTGCATTGAATCCACATTTCTATCATTTCTATGCCACTATCACATGCATATGACTGTGTGAGCGCTCGTAAGCCTTGGCCCTACATATCCTCCAATTTTCACAAATGTTACAAAACTTAAGACCAAATGTTAGCACATTTGTCGCCTTATTATAGCTCTTGTTTTCGTTACTCATATCCGAGTTATAAAAACAGATTTACTTCTGTTTAATAAACAACACGTTTTGCTTAAATGATTGCATATATCGATGCATTCATTCATCAAATGTTGAGTCGAGTGAAACGATTCCTAAGAAAATATACTTCACTCCAAGTTTTTCACACAATCTTTCATTGCAAGCAAACATTGAGTTTTTCACATGTTTTGCACAACTTATAGGAACTCCCGGAGCCCTGAGATCTCCATCTCGAGCACTGCATTCAGATAAAACAGTTCAGCAGTTAATGTCTAAAAGTTTGAATAAATACCCAAATTCTTGGTCAAAAAATATTGATTTAGTGTTGAAATACATGTCAAAAATAAGGGAAACAATTGATTTGAAATGTCTTTATTGTCGACTCGTATTAATAATAAAATATTAATAAATCTTTGTTTTATTTATACTTAAAACTAGTATTAATAGTACTTAACGGCCGAATAAATTGGAAAAAATGAAATTCTAATACAAAATAATGATAAATAGATTTTGTTAAAACGGTATTCATTTCTCTATTCAATAGTAAAAACGTATTAAATTATAAATTAATTTGTTTTCAGATAATTTGTTATTTCATTTTTTCGTCATTTCTTGTCTTAAAATAAAATTCATACAAAAATTCAATAATTTGCTTGTTTTTCGTGTCATTTCTTATGTGAAGACTATTTTAAGAAGCTGTACATCAATTCAACACATTATTCATCATTTTATGAAAAATTAAAATTGTATTGAAATTAAGTTCATAATTCAATTCACATTAATTTCAATTCACTTATCGTATCTAATCGTATGAAACAAATAATTATTGAGTTTTTTAAGTTCACAATAAAGGATAGAATCGCGTTTTCAGTGTTTAGTCACAAATGCCTTAATATATCGCCTTATTATCAGTAATTTGAATGTCATTAAAAATTTTGCTTTTCATATAATCTGTTTTAAATTGAGTTTCAATAGGAATGGATTTAATATAATATTACAATCAATTAATTAATTATCCGTTCATTTGATGTCTAAACAAGAGATGACTATAAAATTAGTTATTAAATACATTGATTACATTAAAAGGCGGTCCCCTCTGGGGGTTGACTTAATTTCATGTTTTCTTTGAGAGTCATCGCACGTCTCAGCTCTTGTAAAACAGTCTTAATCGAGTAGTTCCGCTGCCAACGCGACAGCACCGGTAGAGTACGTCTGTCCACCTGTCAAACAGTGAGTGAGTAAGTGAGTCAGTCAGTCAGCCAGTCAGCCAGGACAACACCCATGGCGTGCGAGCCCACAGTACATACCATTCCTGTGGTCTCATTGATTCCGGTCATCTTAATCTTGGAAATAAACCTCACGTTTGGCGGGTCGTCGGGATAGTTGTGACCGCATTCAACCTTAAGACTATAGATCCGGTTCTCGTAGGGCGTCTGAAAGGCAACACACGGTGAGCGACATGGATGTGGTGGTGGTGTGAGTGGTGGTCATACCCTTGGCGGTCCGATGATCATCCCTGTCCAGTGAGACAAAGTCATGTCCGAGTCGTCCTCGAGGCCCCAGGAGATGGTGCCGTCGCCCACCCCCTTCTGACCTTGCTCCAACTCCTCCAACAGCCGGAAGTTTCGGGGAATCACCACACCTGCCAACACACACACGTTAGTCATCGGTGGTAATCAGACACCACTTCAACCGCCAAATCCAAACAATTATCGCATAAAATGGCGAATCAATTGTTTTCACCACTGATTGCATGACTCATCGCCAATACCATGGCGTGGATTGGCGTATGAGGTGATAGTCTAGAGTGTCGGGTGAGCGCCGGTGTCACCGACGGGTCATTACCTGCCGAGTTCGTGGCCATGTCTTCAGTGCGACTGATCTATGGATCACTGGATGTATGTCTCAGTGAATCACTGAATCCAATGCACTCTCAATGCACTCACCATTCAATACACTCACGACATCTCGCGTCGAGATCACACTCTCACGAGTCCGCACCGGCAGTCCATAGCTTTGTGGCCACCGGTCTGTCACGAAAACACATCCAACAACACATCCAACACTTGTACCCATGGCGAATGATCACCACATGCATCGCCCCATCGGTGGTCAGTCAAAGACATGATATAGAAATACATTTCAATTGTCTGAAAGTGAAATCAAAGTTTCCAATCAATGCAAGTGTTGAATGCAATGACAGTACAATCCCTTCACAGCCTTTGGTTTGTAAATAAAGTTTTGCATCGATTTGTCGCTTGAATTGAGTGTCCATTGAATCCATTGAGTGATCGGATGGCGAACCGCAAGAGGAATATCTCATTCGCCAAACCAGAAGAGCCCGACTTCATCAAGAAGTTGAAGGCCAAACACGGCATCACCGCCGGACCCGATGTGGACACCAAGGTTTGTGTCATTTGAGTGGTAGTTGTGGTGATTGACGTGTGATTTGTGCGATGACTGGACAGAGGGAAGTGATGCCAAGAGTAGACTCGGATGACTTGGAGGACAGGGATGAGGAGCAGCCCGTCATTGTGGTCCTCAAAGACGGCGATCTCGATGAGGAGGAAGTGAAGCGAATCACTGACGAGAATCAATTGAAACGTGAATATTATTTGTTGACAATGAGTGCCATTTGTGACACATTTAATGATATATTGGTTTTGAATGGTGTTTGCGATCTCCAGAAGAGGAGACGGATATAAAAGAGGGAAAAATCATTTTCAAGAAACCAGACAAAAGTGAGACCAACGATCAGAATCAGTCGTTACTTAAGAGTAAGAGTGAGAAGGAGTCCATCAGACAAAGACTCCAATCAAATGAGACGAAAAGTGTCCGAAATTCGAGTTTACTTTCGTTTGGGGACGAAGAGGATGATGAAGAAGACAGCGATTGACACATCCATTTGACACTCATTTCTGTGTATTATTTTGTACATAAAATTCTTGTATTCTTTGCTTTTATGAAATAAAATGTTGACTTAATTGTGAAAATGATTAAAGAATATTCTGGAATAGAGTACATTGAATACATTGAATGGGAATTATTTATCAGTGCATGTAATGTATGTTTTTATATAAATTTTATTCAACATTAGGACAAAAGTAATATTTTGTGATAAAATTCTTGAGATGTTTAGTAAATGAGTTGACAATCAGTTTTATAACCGTAAGGAAAAGTTGGCATAAATTAAGTAAAAAAGTTAAGAATAACTATTATAGATGTGATAATCGATTTACATATGAGATGTACCGCATATTTATAGGTTAGAAATGATGTGAAATATTGAATGCAATTGAATGGCAAATATGACTGAATGTCGTCCCAATGGCACCGTTGGCGGCAATAGTGATGGTAAACCCGATAAGCGGTTATTCTGTGTGAGCGCCAAAAGCCGGTTCACACCTCTACTCTAATTATAGCATTTGGCAGTGAATTGTTCACTGAATGAATGACTCGATTCACAATTTCATCAATTAATTTGTATTTGAATTGTCGATTGCATTGAAAATATCACATTTGATTGGGCAGTGAAGGCATTGGTGTCACCACTCAACACATCCACCAAACCATCCAAACATCAAAAGTAAGATTTTTTGTCACATTTTTTGTATTCAGTTTTCGACCTCCGGTTCAATTCAATGGATTGTTAATTAAGTTTTAATTGTTTTATGACTTATTTGTGCCTTTATTTCAATATTGATTGTATTGGCGGTGGTGTTCAAATCGGTGTTCAATGTCATCATTGAATGGTTCACACAATTCACAGATAATAGCACTGAATGTCTGTTTGTATTGAATATTTAGCGCCAAATGTCAGTCCAATTCATTCATTATTCTTGTATTGTGTGTTACATAGGCTTACATTGCATTCACTATACGCTCACATTTTCATCACATTTATTGCATTTTTCAGTGCAATCTAATTAATTAGATTTATTTCTATATTCAAACATGGTCATATTATCATATAATTAGTCACTCAATTCAATGTTTAATATATTACTCATAATTCTAATGTTTTAAAGTCCACTTTTGATAGGCCTAAACAAATTGATCATGTAACATTAACACAATGAATTGACTATCAATTTATAAAGTCTTAATTTAATTATCAAATTAACAAAATAAACATTTATTGTCTACTCTAACCATAATTGAATTGACCCTCATTTTGTGTATACTGATAGTTCACTGATAATAAACTTGGTGAATTCATTATGAAACGTCAATTTCTGTGTCTATTGTCACGAATCTTTCAATAGTTTTTTGCTTTTGTGTTAAGTTTCACATGTATTGAAGAATAATGTGAATAGTGTACTGAATATTGAGAAACTTTATTCATTATAATTCTCTGTAAATCATTGTCTCATTAATCAATAATTTAAAGAATATTCTAATAAATTCTAATAATTATACTAAAAATTGAAATTATAATACCAAAATGGCTTATAAATTACAAAATCCTTTATAGAATTAATTATAACGTCTAAAGAATGTTAGAAATTATGGTTAAAACAGCATTTCATACATTGAATTGCTTCACAAATCTACCAATTCTTGACATTTGAGTTGCGGCTAAAATGTTCACTTAAAATATATTTGAATTCTTAATACTATTTTAGACATTATTAGTTAAATATACTCTCTTTTAGCACGAATTGTCACATAAATTAAAAGAAATTCTCATTTCATTAGATACTGTACTTGTTTTTGACAACAATTTATTTCAATTGGAGATATAATTCTTAAATGAAACCAAGAATTTTCAATAGACTGTATGGATATCATTAGATTTGTGATTATAATAGTTTTGTAGCTTTAATCTCTTTGTTATGTAATAAAAATAATTTTTATTTAAAAATGTATGTTTAATAATAATTAATGTATTGATTCAATGGAGTCTAAAATATGTCTACAATTATGTACTAATGACTCAAATTAAGAAATGAATTTCAAGTAAATTGTGTTTAAAATGAAATTTGAGATCAATTTGAACGCCATTTGGTGTCCAATACATGAGTGCAGTCTCGCCTCCCAAACAGCCCTTCATTTGTATTGATTAGTCCTGTCTATGACTCCACTATAAACCAGAATTACATCGAAAAAGTGGCGGAATCGCTATCTTTACTCTTTTCTGTGGGCACTATGATTGAGGCTAATGAGTGGCACATGTGATGGTGAGACCCGATATGCGAGTCCATGCAGTGGTCACACAGTGTGTCAACCGATGGCCTAATGCTTGGCCGCCACTGAAGGCAACGCCAGGCAATGAGTGGGTAGTGAAGGGAGCGGTAGAGTAGACGCCACTCTCATAGAGAGCCAGCGATGAGTGGCGTACACCGAGAGACCGACCAATCGCTGGCAGCGTACGAGTGGTATTGCAGTGCGTGAGAGAGAGAATGAGAGAGAATGGGGGGGAGAGGAGAGAGAGAGAGAGAGAGAGAGAGGGCGAGAGAGACGGAGAGAATGGGCACAAACTGAACGCACAGTCGAGTCGAGTGCCGAGTCATCAGCGCTCAGTCACTGCCGACCCCTCTCTCCATGCGATTCAGTGAAGCGATATTCGCCCCCAAACTCAGTACAGCGTTAGAGAGAGACAGAGAGAGAGCACGAGTGAGACGGAGAGAGAGAAGGGGAGAGAGAGAGACACACAGAGAGACATACAGTGCTATAGGGGAGAGAGTGAGCTGCACTCGACTCGACACTGAACTCCAGTGCCAATGAGTGCCAGAGAGAGGGAGAGAGAGCTCGAGGAGGAAAAGGTGGTTACAGTGGAAAGGAGGGCACAGATAGACAGACAGCGCTCACAGGACTGCCATTCATAGGACGCCATCTTAACTGTGATTAAGCGCTCGTCTTATCGTTGTCTCACTCTCTCCACCAATTGATCCCATTTTGTGGTCACTTCTTGTGCTAAACACTTGGCGTCGGTTTTTCGCAACAGATTTCATCTCTTAATTCATTGACTGATCCATTGATCGAGTGATTTGTGCCGGAAATCAGTTGACAATTGCTGTGAAACGTGTATTTGTCGTCATTTGCAGACATAATAATCAACGAATCCATTGAGTGATACGATAATCATGTCGGACGTCGTGCTGGATGTGATTGATTTGGACGAATCCCCGCCACCGCAGGACTCACTTCAAGACAATGGCGAAGACGTGGACGCAGTCATGAGGGATGAGACCAATGGTGAGCTCAAAGACGACGAGTTGAACGACGAAGACCTGAATAATCAAGAAAATCAAGACTCCATTGAAGACTTGGATGACGTCGAGGAGGATGTGCTCGAAGAGGACGACGACATTATCATCAGTGATGACGACGAAGACGACGACAACAGTCAAAGTACAGCCAATTCTGTGTCCAATAAGGTGACGGACAATGGTTTGAGCGCCGGATCGCTGAACAGCTTGGAGGCCACCCCTAACGACTCGATGGACAGCAGTTCTGTAGTGTCGACCCCGAAGGAGACGCCCAAACCGACCGCCGAAGAGCCCACGAAAACGACTTCTTCGGAACAAAATGGCGACGACATTGAAGTGATTTCTGTGACCGAGTCGTCGGACCCGACGAGTGATGCGAAGACCCAACACTTGTTAGATATCGCGCCCGACATGAGTGACGAAGAGACAGGTTTTCCCGAGTATATGAAGAAAGTGGTGGCGATCGGCAAAAGGATTGCCATCAATAAGAAGACGTGGAATAACATCGACGTCGACGTCAACGACTCCATACTGGACTGTCCATCACAAGTGGTTCCGCTTATGATTCAAAAGCCCAACACTTTCCCCGAAAAGCTTAAAGAAGTGCAAAACGAAACGCAAACCAAATCGGAGGCCAACGCGAGCGGCGTTTCGCAGAACGCGAAGAATATGCTGACAATCGCCGACTTCTACACCAGTTCTGTGGGCAAACTGTTGGTGGGGTTGGGTCTGAGCCGAGCCAAGCAGTGGTACCACAAGGACGCCATCAGCAAAGTTAAGAAACAGATCCGACGCGAGGGAGAGGTCGAGGATCTGGTGGATGAGCTGAAGACACAGCAGGAGTACTACGCGGAGTGTCGGGCGGCGAACAGTTCGTATACATTCCCGACGGATAAGTGCGATCACTGCGACTTCAGGACTGAGTCGAAACTCGTGCTCAGAGGACACATGGCGTTCCCTCACCTCACCTCCCGACGCGAATATAAGTGCAATTACTGTGAGTACATGACTCGCGATCCCAAACAGATAGTATTACACACCCAAGCGCTACACGAGGCCAAGTGTCTCATCGAAATCCCGCCCCAACTCTACGAGTGTCCCGTCTGTCCGTACGAGTCGGGCGTCAAATCCAAAGCCGCCACTCATATAACCAAATGCTTGAAGTTCTTCAACGCCGAGAAACTTCTCAATCTGACCGACGCCTACGACTTCCCGACCATTACTCCTAAACCTATCACTCAGGAAGACATTAAGATATATGAGGCGACACTACAGGCGCTTCGTTTCGCGGCACTCAACCCGCAGACTAAAGTGCCGCACATTCCTGGCCTTCCGACGGGTCTTCAGCACCAGATGCTTCAGATACAGCAGCAGCAGTTGGGTGTGAGAGGTGTTGGCAGACCTCCCAAACAGATGTTACCGATGAACCAAAAGGGTCGACTCATCGCGCCGTCGATGGGCAACCCGTATGGCAACAAAAACGTGTCGCCACAGCTCTACCAAATGCTGTCAACAGTTGGCGGTCACACACAACTGGTTCCCATTCAGAACCGGAATAATTTACAACAGATGAACAAAATCGCGGCCGCGGGCGGGAATGTCATGAAGATGTCGAACTCGAACTCAAATAAACCTAATATTCTGGCGAAGAATAATAGTTCGCCTCAAATGAGACCAAACAACGACAATACGGGCGGTAAGAGCGGAACGTTCGTCATCTGCGAGATCTGCGACGGATATATCAAAGATCTGGAACAGCTTAGGACTCACATGCAGTGGATTCATAAGGTATGTGTCGGACGCATCTGTCGGCGCCATATGTGTTGGAATGGGTTGTAATGAATGTGTGAATTACAGGTGAAAATACATCCCAAGATGTTGGCGAGTCGTCCGCCACTGAACTGTCAGAAGTGTCAGTGGAGGTTCTTCACGGACCAGGGCTTAGAACGGCATCTGTTGGGCGCACACGGATTGGTCACCTCTAATATGCAGGATATGGTGAACCAGAACCAAGACGGCGGGCGCTGTACTATATGTGGCCGAGTCTTCGCCAACAAATTAGTCGCTCATATGAATCAAGTAATGATGACATTGTGTTTGTATTGAATCGATGGTAACTCATGTCTGTTCCCTATTGACAGATGCATAAGATTAGCCTAAAGCCGGCCCACCTGTCCTACAAGTGCACCGTGTGTTCGGCCACATTCAATCTGTACCGGCTGTTTGAGAATCACGTATATATGGTTCATTCGGGTTCAGTGAAGCGCAACGCAGAGGACGGCAGTGGAGGACCCGCTAAGAAGAAGCCGGCGCTTGAAATGACTGCTAATAACGGTATTTCCTAAGACTGTACGCATTTGTCACGTGTTTAACCATTTCTTATGACAACTGTTGTCGTATTGATAGGCGAGAAGAAGTCTGCGGTCAACCACTCGATAGTGTCCGGCAATAAAGTGGTTCTTTCGAGTGCTGTTCACAAAACTACTCAATAATTAGCACTTCATATGTCATCCACAACTCGATTACAATATTAGCGACAATTAGTTTTGAATTATTTATTATTAAGAAACAATATTTTGTTAACGAAAACATAAGTAATTACCGAAATTATCTGATTTGAGAGATCCCTGGCCTTCATGTCATCAAATCAAGAGTTGAGTCCAAATGTCTAATCATTAATACATTAAAGAGATTCTCTAAATGATAAACGATTTAATAGTTAATAAATTATTAAAAACTAAAATATGTTCTCATTTTGTTAACTGAAGCGGACGTTCAGTATTTGTGATACGAACCTCACATTTGGCTAAATATTTCTAAAATACAATTTTTAGTAATTAACTCTAAATCATTCATAAAAATATATACAATTAATAACTTATTTGAAACAATTATAACTTATTATAATGAACACAATATTTCTCATAGTTTAAAGTTTTTGTTTTTTCAGTTGTATTTCATTTGTAATCGAATTAATAATTTACACAAAATATAACAGTTTTTAAATATTATTTAAATTCAATTATGATTTAAATAAAGATAATTTTCAATTTTGCAAAATATTTGTTTATTTAAGTAAACTATTTAACAAAACCGTATGAATTATAATCAATTGAATTCTAACTATATTACAAACACAGTTGAGACTATTAGTCACGGTATTCCGGGTCATTCCGAGTCATTGTTTTCGGCCACAAATGTTTTGATGCCTTCAGAGATCACTCTTTTGTTGACCCCATCTTTCACTAGAATACTCGTCACTCCTTTGGCTTTAAGATCTCTAATATTCCTGATCTCGTCGTCGAAAAAGATCATTTGAGACAATCGGACGCCACTGTCTTTGTGGATGCGATTGAAATGAGTTGTCTTACATCCGGGATATATCTGCTTATAAGTGAAGTATTTATTCCAATCAAATAAGTCCAACAATTGTTCCGCTTCTTCAGTGGCTGAAGTCCTTTAATCATAACAAATGATTTAATGAAACACTCAAACAAATAATGAACACAAACCGAGAGGCGATTCCTAATGTATATCCCATTAAAGACAAGGTTTGCAAGACCTCAGGAACTTCTGGATAATACTTGACTTTCTGGCCATAAGCGTCGACCACTTTTCCATTTCTGTTTTATTAATTAATTACCAAGATCATTAAAATTGTAAAATAAATTATTTTTGTTGAAAATTGAAATTCTTCATAAATATTGAAATCCTATTAAAGTTCTGAACAAATGGTCGGCAAATGGATTCATACCTAATGAATGTCTCGATAGTAAGCATTAAATCATTTTTATTCATTTATTTCACTCTTTTGTATATAAATTGAAAAATATTTTTAAAAAATAGTTTTAAGAAAAAACTCATTTGAAAAGAGGGCTGGAATTGAGTGATGTGTTGATTAATCAATGGATCTCTAATTTATTACACCATTGGATGGCATCCCATATAATGAGCGCACGTCTTGTGGATTGCAATCAATTTCTCTAATATTGTATTAAATGCTTTTCAAACCAAATATGATTTATTGGACACAACATTACTATGAATTCAATTGCCGAGAATTGCTCACAAAATATATTCATTTCATGAATCCATTCAACACTACAATACTATTTGCAATGAATTCTTATGAATACAGTATTACTTTATAATTGATTCATATATTGATATGAAATTAAATTGATTTAAATTTATAATTAGAAAACATGTGAAGATTATTAGCTATGTGAATTTATAATTAGAAACTTACTGATCGGTACGAAAGGGTGGTGTGACGTGAGTGTCCACCCAAAAAGGCCATAGGGTATAATCTGGGCAATCACACAAACATTAGCAGGCTCCTATTATATAATATTAGACATACATATATGGTAGCTTACATACATACAGTAGCATACATACATACATGTATGTCATATAAATCAGTGTATTTATTATTACCTAAATCAAAGACAATAATCTTGAGGTTATCGACTTTATCTTTGAGGTAATCCATGGCAGATATGATGGCATAAAGCGGGAGATATGTTGTGATGGATGGCAATGAGTGATGCAATGACTGTCAATGCAATGCATTCACACAATGTATGCAATCATTGAATCACTGAATGTATGGTTACGTCAATAGGAGTGTTGAGCGCAAAGTCAGACTAAATGACTGCAAACTTATAGCGAAACTCACGTAAAGTGAAAGCAAAGCCTAATTTGATAACTAAATAGCGTTAGACTAAGTGTTGAATGACTTTTGTTGAGAAATGCATTGTTTTAGTCTATTAATGATATAATCTTTGGTTTGTTGTCCAAAATAAACACTGGGATTGAAAGTGTGGCCTAACTATGCGTTCATAATATGAATGAACAATTGGATGGCAATAGTGTAGTGTATGTATGGATGTATGAGTTGAGCATACATAGTATGAAAAGTGGTTGGATTTGTGTGAGGCTGGAGTGGTTGGAGTGGAAGGACAGGTAGTTCTGCAGGTTCTGTACATGCGATGAATGCAATGAGCGCTTATTCAACGAGGCGTACACTCCATACCATACCTGTTGGGAAAAAACTGACAAAAAACTTGACGTTAGGCTCTCATATAGGATTGAACATTGAGGTGAGGTTTAGGTAGGTTTGGTAGGCTGTATGTTGCAACAGGTGCAACAGGTAGGCTGTATGTTAAGGTAGTTGTCGGGCATTTTAACATAGCATAGCTCTGGGCTGTCATACAACTGGGGGACCGACTCTCAGGCAAGAGGTTAGTTAGGGCTCAGTTAGCTTTCAGTTGTTTTGTGCACTTGTGAGCTATACTTCTCTTCCCATTCACTCTCATTGCTATCATATCTGTGCGGCTCTTCTACTCGTGAGGGCAGGTGTTTGTGTCTGTTGTCTGTGTCTGTGTCCACCAAATGGCAACTACAAGATATCTGGTGGTGGTATACGTGGTCACCGCAGGTCTTCACGACGACGACCTCGGCTGCGATGAGGAGGAGACCGTTCTCTTGGCGTGGGTGGTGGTCGACCAGACCAATGCCAAAGTGAGTGTCCAGACCTACCATTCCTACCATTCCCTTCCAGTCCCATCACATTCCCCTACCATTCCCTGCCATTCCTCACCACAAATTGCAAAACACTTGTCATAACTTCACAGCGAAACTCAATCTTTTGGCTCTCAATCCAAAAGTTTTTGTAAACTTTTTCAACGAAACGCAATATTCAGACACTTGTCATCTGAACGCAAATCTGTCTCTAGTTTTGTGATCTTTGATTAGTTCAGCGGTTCTGACCGTAAGATCTGTGATATAAGTGAGCGAATGGTCCGTCAAATACTCGCCAGACATGAGATGCCAGACAATCGCTTTTTTGTGGTCTTTTTGTGGACGCAATCAGTTTTGTCTGTTTTGAGTGTCTGATTGTGACAGTCGGTGACAATAATAATAGAGTGCAATACTATTCAATACTATTATACTATGCATACAGTTGTATAGCAATCGTACGTTTGCTGTGAATCTCAGTTGCAGTCCATCCCTAACTCATTATAAGTTGCTATCTGTTGGACACGACTCTCGCTTTCCACTCATTATTATGACACTCAGTCTGTACTCTATTATGATATCATATGATATACACCACTGAAGGACAGGATATTTATGAAAACTCTCATCCTTTTCAATATACTGTACTATTATCTCACGACTACCTGTAGTGCACTCAATGGCTGTCCACTTATAATAATTATATAATTTTAGACATTTGTTGCTGTATTTTGAATTACATTGCACTGCACTGTATACTATACAGTGTTTAGTGTACACAGAGTTCACAAAAAAGAGTTATTATTATTATTCAATAATTAGACATAAGCTTGATAAGTATTTGAAAAGAAAATCAAATTGTGACATTTTGTTTTCAAATGGCAGTTGTTTTGTAAAATATAATTTATATCTATTCTTTACAATTATAAAAATATATTAAGTATTCAATACGAGTGCAATGATTTTTCCCATCTCTGGGCCTATCTGTGATTGTATAACCCTGATAACAAGTTATATTCTGGTACACAGTTTGCTGCATTGCATATACGGTGACAGAGACCAAGGGTGGGAAACGCTGTAAATTGAGTTTAAACCCATACTTTTGAGTTACCTTTTAATGTGAGCCATAAGAGAGAACAGGTATACAAATCGACTCCATCTAAGAATCTTAGGCTCCCATAGACTCGATGTTTATATAATAACGAAAGTAATAGCGAACGCCCTGTGCTTCACATAATAGGCCCTATTTTTCACCAAAACACGTAAAAACTAATGAATTTCAAAGTTTTTTTTGTGATTAAATACTTTGCAACGAATTGCATATAAAAATCTTTTTTGGTTTGTTGCAAACAATTCCTGAATAATAATAAAATCTGATTATTATTAGCCATAAATGATATGCGAACTCATAAATCACTTATAAAAGCAAAAGCTGTTGAGAAATATATGATCGTTATTGTGATTGAATTATTGTTTGTCAGACTCTGTTATCCAAAACAAACTTCAAGACCACTCAAGAAGTACTTAAATGTCGTGGAATAGCCCAAAGCTAATTGCTATCTGTATCTAAGACTGCATTTTTTGCTCTTAAATATTGGGTCGCTTTCGATGAAATAGTGAACTGTTTTAGAGTTGACTTCGATTAGCGTTTTGAAGCCAAAGTTATATACGATATGTTGATCTCGACTCTCATTAGAGTCTCGCAACTCATTAAAGAGGTTTTCAAAAATTTTCAAACCAATTGCTGACAATAACACTAACTCTTGAAAGCAAATTGTGGTCAAAGAACATGACTTTTATTTTCGGAGAGATTTTGTCGACAAAAAAAGCGTTTAAGTAGTTTTGTGACCTGAGCTCAGATCCAGAAAAAAATATTTATGTTTTAATATTTTCTTGTTATCTCCAAAAGAAGATAAGAATTACCTTAAGGTAAATAAGGCATAGATATAGTTATATTAATGCAAATAGCATTACATCAACGCAGACAAAATCATACATACTTTGACTCTCCCTTCCCTTCGTCTCTCTCTCTCTCTCTCTCTCTCTCTGTCTCTCTCTCTCTCTCTCTCTCTCCTGACTGTGCATTGAATGTCTTGTCTATGGTATGGTATCGTTGGTTGAGGTGTAATGCAAATGAGTGGTTTGTGGAGAAAACGAAAATATCATAAAAACAAAGTGCACAACAAACCTAAACTCATGTAATTTAAAACAATTAATCTCTGTCTCTGTCTCTCTGTCCCAAACACTCGCCTCTAATCCTCTCCTTATTTTTGCCAACACTTGCCCTAAACTCTCCAAACGCTGGCCATACCTGTGCTCTGCATCCAAACGAATCATTATTTAATAAATAAGCAATTTCTCGACAATTACCCAAACATAGCATTACTTGAATTTATAAATGATTTGAGAGTTTCTCTGAAACTGATTTTATAGTCAAACATAACATCTATTGAATGCTAATGAATGTTATCGAGTAGAGCCTGGAATTCAATATAAACTCAAAGCAACACTTTATTCAATGAATTTTATCCGAAAGCAAATAGTTTTTATTATCACTTGTCTTAAGTAATGACTTCTCGTTATGTCATTAAAGATATTTATAAAATAAAATTTTCAAATAAATTGTGGCAAAAGTTCATTGATTTGTTCGATCGAAAGATATTAAAACTTTTTATTAACATTCAAATCAAACACTGTTTTGCATATCTGAAGGAGTTTTGGGCTTTGAAATTATAGACCGACAAAAGTAACCTAAAGTAATAGTAATAGTAATAATAATAATAATAATAATAATATTGTGAGACTCACGATGATCTACCGATGCAATTGTCAATGTCTTCGTTAACAAATACCTTAACTTAATGTCAAAGACCTGAACATAATTGTGAATAACATTTCCTCCGCCATAGACAGACATAAAATTGTTAAGCACTGTATATATGGTATGAAAAGCAACAGAAAAAAATTGGTGAATAAATTCTCGCCTAAACGCCAAACAAGTGATTCTGTATAAGACAACAGACAACTCGTTGCGAAAGTGTTTTTTAGGACTCAAACTCTCGAGTCCTTAAGAAAAGCCAAAGTAAACACCGAAACAATAACTCCGGCTATCATTAGAAGCGCTGTTTAAACAATCCTTTGTTTGAAAAGTTATCGAAAAAAGAAATACTATTTTGATGTTCAAAGAGATTTGAAAGCAGAAAACTTATGACTAATTTTTGGTCCATAAACTCGAAGGTGTTTTGAAGTCAATATTTAATGAATGAAACCCACGTTTTCTGCACAATCTCTCCAAAAGTATGAATAACAAGCGTCTGAGACAACATATTTGTCAAGATTTCTATACTAAACTCCCTGGACACTCAGTAGGATCTGGGTGCTCTGCAAATATAAATAATGTTTTTTGGCGTTTTCCCACCAATCAATTGACAATCGATAGACTTTGTTTGCTATATAGCCCTCATAAAAACAAAATTTATCTCTTTTTCTATACAACTGTAGCCTTAAAAGTGGCCAAAAGTCATGAGTATCTTAACCTTTAAAAGCATTATTCGTTACTTATTTTCCCATCAAATACAGTATAAGTTACTCTCAATTAATATGATTCAAAGACTTTCACGAAAAGTGACAAAAATTTAAAGTTAAAAAGCACAGAATTTCACTTTAAATGCATTTTTGTCGTGATATGAAAGAAATACTTAACTTAAAAGGTTTTTTACGTTAGATTTCATTGTAAATAAACGCTAATTTATTGGTTTGTTTTGCAATTTATGGTTTGCTTCCATCTATTCTGGAGATTGAGTCCAAAAACCAGAAACGATTACATTATTAGACATATTTGTGAATCATATACTCTAACGTAATGTGCAATAAATTGTGATTACAGGTGGTGGCGGTCCATACCAATGTGGTAAAGCCCCGGAGCGCTGATGTCAATGAGAACATACTGTCCGAAGTCGCCAGAAATAAGTACGGCCTGACAGAGGAGATGATCAAAAACGGTCAGCCCTTAGAGAATGTGCTCGAAGAGGTAATTGAATTTCTATTTTCAAATACAACACTTATTTTATTTGACAATTCCTGTAGTGTTCCCTAAATAGTGAACCATTAACTCTAAAAACGCCTTTCCTTTTCATATACTGTACTTCTCGTCTCTCTTATCGTTATTTCTCTCTTTTAATTGAAAGCAATATTAAAATAATCTTTATTTTTGTCTAAACTATTATTATTGTTATGAAACAAAACAAAAATAATTGTTTTCCTGTCTTCCAGTATTGCATAACAATTGCATTCAAACGTCTAATACCTGTTCTGTTGATTCTGTTGACTCTATTTTCTCATATCATTTGCACATTAAGTCTGAATGGAAGACAAGATTCACTTCTTTCTAATTATTCCTCTCGTCTTCACTCACTCTCACTCTCCTCTCAATTGTTATTAAGGTTTGCCTTCACTTCACAATCTTGTGAACCCCTCGCACAACACAAACATATTCTCTCTATTCTCCTATTTAGACGACTTTCCCCTCTCAGACTACCTGAGCTTTCGTGACTGTACTGCCTTTACATCAATATTCAAACATAACTTTAAAAGCGAGTCATTAAAAGTTTAACAAAAATCTTGAATCGTTTGACAGTTGGATCAGTTCGCAAAGGCCAAGCTGTCGAGCGAAACCGGCCGTTCCTTCCACCTGATCACTGACGGACAGTTACACCTGAGACAAGTGCTTCATCCCGAAGCCTCCAACAAAGGCATACCTTTACCTGAATATTTCAATACATTCTATGACTTACGCAAAGAATTCAGAAAGTTTTACCGAAACAATGACATTCAGACCATCGATGATATCATTAATTGTATGATTCACTTATCATTTGCATAACATTTCTGCACCTATTTTAGAGGATTTATTCTAATTATCATTTCATTTATTCATTCAAAAAGATTTATGTATTGAAGGCGACGCCTCAGCCGACTGTGCCGTACAAAAGGTTCAAAATATGGCACAAATCATCATTAGACTCATCACTGATGGTAAGTCTCAAGACCAAGACATGACATTCTTCTGCGAACCTTTTCCAACCACTTGTGAATGAAATTCTAGTCCATCAACCCTTCCCTTCAAATATCAGACAACTATTTATTGAACTCTCTCTCTCTCTCTCTCTCTCTCTCTCTCTCCTGACTCTCTGCCGTCTCAAAGATTGTCTTGTGTTGAGTTGATTAGAAGTCCAGAACCCAAATACACAGAAATCAGTGCTTTTGACTGATGTGAAGATTGGCATTGGAGAGCACCGGCACTCTAGTCGTCAATTCCTAATTCCTATGGTTATTCCTGCGGACATATCTGACTGAATACCTCTAAAAATATTTGATTTTTGAAAAAAGGAAAAAATTGTAGAAAAAACTCGTCGAACAAGTTTTGATACATCAATAGTCTATAGAATAATGCAATCAATACATAAGAACTGATGAGAGATTTCTATGAAATGTTTGTCGAGTCTCAGAGAAGTTGACGACTAAATGCTAACTAAAGTTAGGGTCAAAGATATGTTAATTATTACCGCAAAAGAATGCAAAAATTCTTAGCACTTATGCCCTTATATTTTAAATGGACTTCACTTTCAGTTTATAGCATTTAAGTGACAATATTTGCGATAAGAGTTTACTTAATGAAAGCCTTAAAAATGTTTTTACATAAATACCTGTTGTCTAACAATAAACGACAAAATAATATTCTCTATTTATTTCTCAGCTTATTTTTCTCATAACCTATTGTTGCGAAACATTTGTCGGACTTGTATTTCACTCCATTCACTAGAAAATGACTTAAAAACTCATTTCTTTGACTATTAATCTAATATTACATTCAATTAAATGAAGTGAATACTGAACACTACACTACAAAATAGCAATCATTATCGGAAAGGGAGAGATAGGGGAGAGGGAGGGAGAGACTCAGTGAATGAGTGAAAGAAAGCGTTTTCACGTAATAACGAGTGGTAAGAAAATCTCCGAAACATTGGATTTGAATAATAAAAGAAAAAGTAAAAGAAGAGAAACAACTGTTTTCTTATCGCTTCAGTCTTTGAAAAACTTTTTGTTTCAATTGTTTCGTTGTTTAGGGTTAAGAAAATTCGGGTTTTATTTTAGTTCATTCGCTTTTCAACTCTCGGCTCTCAGATATGTATTGCGAAAAGTCTCAGTCGACATCCCATCCCCTAAAGCACTAATACCTGAATCACGAAATTGCATAACAACTCAAACAAGTATTACATTCTATGCCTCCGAGACATCGTCGGAGCGCATCGTTATTCTCATAGTTTAGTCAATACTTCAGTTCACAATTCAAGTGCTCAGGACAACAACCCGGCTCTCTCTCCATACCCCTCTCCCCGTTCTCTCTCACTTTTAAGCTCTCTCTCTCTCTCTCTCGCTCTCTCTCTCTCTCTCTCTAATGTAGTCGCGAGCGCTGTAAGGAATAACTCAAGCGATTCCGTTTAGAGTCGGTGCAGCTTTTGTAACAACTTTTGCCTTTCGTAGTGAAGTCAGTGAAAGGGGGAGACGGGGTGTCTGTCCCCCGCACACCACCACCAGCTCTACTCGAGAGCACCACAGCAATGGTTTGAGAGGGGAATCCCATTCCGCCGTAAAATCATGTCTGACTCTGAGTATTGCGAAAATGAGTTATTCTCGACTGCCATGAGTTGTCATGCGATAAGTTATAGTGCCCTCAAGGATAGGCCCAGTATTTCAGTAGATATGAACTAAACCATTATAACAGTCGGTCCCGAACTCTCGTACAGCATAAACAACGTCTACGGCTATACATCCCATGGATTCCCCTATAATTGAAATCTAAATAAATTAAAATTCAATTTTGTTTCAATTTAATGTGATTTCAATACAAATAACAATAATTTTCCGAAACAAATGATGACTTATTTTCCCTGAAATTTCATGTGTTTTTAGAGACACTTTCCCTTAATGACAAATATTTTAGATGAACCTGATGAATTTGAACACATTATTAAATTCATCGGAAATTTATTCACAGATAATTGAATCAAAATTCTTTCAATTGATTCATAAGAAACTGTTTTCAGATATAATTCATAAAAGTTTGTAAAACTTTGAAATACGAACCGGTCTTTCAAACATTCAATTCATACTATTTATTCAGAAATTGAAAAACATTTTTACGCGAAACAACTTTTTTCTTCATTTGATTAATAATTTATTACTGAAAATCTTTTGCCCAAAAAACTCATTTAAAACAATTATTATTAATGCAATACTTCTTATCAAATGACTTCTGTTTGAAATGAAATGACATTTATTTTGATAATTTATTTCTCGCTTTATATTTCTATTTCTTACTCTCATTTCGTGGAAAAGGATTGAAATTTCTTTTCTATCAAAAAGATAAATATATTTATCATATATTTTTCATTCAAAACCTTTAGGACATAAGTTTGAAGGGCCAGAAATAGTGAGCGATAAGTTAGAGCCGGGAATATGGTATGTATTACTAAATCATTATAATATCTATTTTATTAATAGTATCTTTTAATTCATTTTTTGCCAAATCTCTGTGAACTAAAACTCGAGTTTTTTCAGATTAAAAACCTAACAAATGAGTCCAGTTTTCTGTCGTATAAATCCTAAACTCAATAAAGCTTTAGAATCGCATAACAAGTGTTTCTAATATATTAGACCTTAAAAACCCTCGGAGTTAGAGATTTGCTGAACTTATTCATCATTTAGAAGATTATATTTAAGTGAGTTTTAAATGAATGTGTTTTTTAGCAAAAAAGGAAAACGATTTTTTTGAGATACAGTTTTGGAATTTTGCTGAAAAAAGTTTTATGACTTGAAAAATTAGAAACAATAAAACTAAACGTTAACATCAATGGCTTTTTAGACAAATTCCTTGTTTTTATAATTTTTCACTTAAGCAACACATTACACGTGAATATTTTTAGATTTTTATTTTGCACTGAAATTTATTTATATTAAATTATGAGTGCAATATAGCTTGTTTCAAAATATGTTTATCACTTAAATGTATGTTATTTTTATTTACTGAATAATGAATTTACAAATATGATGCATATGTTTAGCAAACAAGTACTAATGATGTGCTATATTTTGTCTGAACATTCAGTAGTAAGAATGAAGTGGTCGACGGCAATACAGTGGTCAGGGCGAGGGGTCTTCCCTGGCAATCATCAGATCAAGATATCGCCAAATTTTTCAAAGGATTAAATATAATGAAGTGAGTCCTGGGCTGACAGCCTATTCTCATACACTGTATAATGTATTAGACATTCACTGATATCGCAAACACTATTCATGTATTCCTCACGAGTCCTCACAAATCCTTGACTAACGAGTCTGTTGTGTAAGTCTTTAATAAACTGTTTGTTCGGTTGAAAAAAATATTTAGAAATTATGGCAGTATTTAAGATACAATATATCATAGTTAATGGCTTTTATGCAGTGTCTCAGTTCACAAGCCTTTAAAAACAATGTTTCTGTTTATCAGTCGTGAAACTCAATAAAACGTGAAAATATATAT